CCGCCGTAAAATGGACTTAAAACTGTGCCGCTATTTGCGTTTTCGCCCTGCAACATTCGGCGCTGTTTTCTAGCTCTGTTGCGAGCAGTACATAACCACAATCTAGAGACGCCATACTTATGGTGGAAGAGGTCGCAAAACTGCACAACTTTGTAATCGGTGGTATCCCTTGTGCGGCACTGTAAAACTAACGACTTCCAAAGTTGTTTTTGATATGTCACATTTACATTAATCATGTTCAGTACAATTAACTTAAACTTTGGGGACTATAATGGCGATTTTTCGATTAGTTCTATGAAATAATAGTTTATTTCACCACTTTGTTGTGTTGTTTATTATAATGGCTTATATTAAACATCAAATAATTTGGGGTGTTGAATTAATCCGGCCGGGATGTTCTGGAATTTATTCCAAACCCTTTCTAAACCCTAAACTCACCCCAACAACAGTTGGCAGCCGTCTACGTGCGCCCGAAACCTGTGAAAATCTACGTAGGTCGTCTCGCTACCTGTCGCGCGCTTTCACCAAATAACCCGGCACCTCCACCATTTTTTTTATTAAAAAATATTTCTAACTTAATATTTTCAAACGTTTGATACAATAAAATATTGATAATTGGACGGAAGTTGCTTCGATATTGTTCCATTAGCGCGAAATTAATTTCGTTTTTCGTTGATGCGGTCGACCAGAAACGGTTAATCAGCAAATTGAACTCAATCGGTTGTTGGGGAAGCCTGCCCCGTGCGCTCGACGCTTCATCAATTATATTTTTAATGTATAGTTTGTGTCGTCGCCGACGGAGAAGTGGATTAAGCTCGACATCATTGCACATTCGCCTCCGGCACCGCTGCCGAGTTTGCAAAGCGATAAATTCCAATTTTATTTGTCGAGCAAACAAACGTAAGGCGAACAGGGCGGTAAAAGTGAGCTCGGTCAATATCAACAGAGAAACAAAAGACGAATCGAATCGTTTATCTGCAATTGATATACCATTACATTATTCTTCGCTTAGGCGCTTGGCCCGGCACAAATATCGCAAGAAATCACTTTACTCAAAGGCAATAAATATCGGTTTTTATTGTTTTGCATTTTACGACTGTTGCATTTTAGTTTAATTAATTTTAATTTTTTGTGTTCTGTTTTTGTTGGTAAAATTTATGGAAGCGAGCTCTGATGTCTGATTGGTTTTTGATTTATGGTTGTCTATAATATCTCGTGCATAAATCTTGAAATTTCTATAATTTTCTCGGTATCTCTTGAGTTTGTTCATCCTTTCAGTTAGTTTTTGTCCCGCAGTCGTAATTTATCCGCGCGTTATCCGTTCGAAATGCGTTTATTATATTATTCGTTTCGAGTCTTTCATTTGCTTTTTGCTGCCGTTGTGCCGTTGTTGTTGATTTCACAGTTACGTACACTCGCGACGTAATACGATTTCCATTTCTGCACTAGTTAGCAAACGACGAATGATTTGTGTTTCGCTGTTTCTCTATTTGAGTTTCTATGTGTGTATGAATTAGTCGGTTACTATTTGCGTTTGCGTGTGTGAGTAACGTGCGACGTGAAATAAAATAAATTGTTGATGTTTATCGTAGTAAATATATAGTATATTTAGTACGCGTGGCACTATGCGCGGGAATTTCGGGAGCGTGCACGGATCCCGGATCCGGGGGAAAACGCGCTAATTTCGTTTGTTTTGCTCGGTTGAGTTGACATATTAACTTCTGACGCAGTCGACTGTAAACGTGATGAACAATTCCCTCTTCGCATGTACGCCGCGCTGTATCCCTCCTCACGCTAGCTCAGTACTAAATGAATATTTTATACAAAGTGTAATCAAAATCGCTGCTCGTCAAACGTAGGCATAATTAAAGTCGAAATTACATTTGGAACTATTTTACGTGCCCTAAACTTGGAGTAATTACCGCAAAATTAATTTAAATTTAAATTTCATATTTTGACATAAAAGAAATATTTATTAAAAGAGTTTATCAATTATTTTTGATAATTAACTTCAAAATAAGTGATTTTGAACTTTTTTCTTGTAAATTATTTTTGGAACACTTTGTATAAATATGGTATGTGTTGCACTCTATGCCATATATTTTCGCCTGTTATGATGGCATCGTTTTCGTCGTCAGAATCGTTCTCTCCGCGGAGCGAGCTTAATGATCGCAATCCAATTATTATTTTTTGCATGAGTTGGCAAGTTGCAATTGGGTTTTGCTTTGCGCCGCCGAAACCACAAAAGCACGTCGCCGGTGGTGCAGCCTCCTGTTGCCGCCCTCAAACGCTTCGTAAACGTTTGACGCTCTCTTATGATGCGCGGTTAGCATCCAAATGCACAATGTATGAAAGAAAGTGAAACACAAATGAACATCACTACATTTTAGCTATAGATAAAAAGTTAGAGCGCATAAAAAAAGAATTAGTATTAAAATATGTACGACACAAAAAAAAGTTTTAAATTGTTTATTGCATCAACATTGAACCAAAATTTCTATTGATTTCAAGTTGTTGGTATTTTTATTTAAAGATTCGATACTTTTTGGCTACTTTTTGAAGACTTTTTCCGAGGGGCAAAGTTTGCAGGAAGTTGCTGGTGCCATCAGGAAAGTGTGAAAAGTTTCTCGCACCCCGCTGCGCGACGTCGATACAAATATAAATTCAATTTAATAAAGGCACGTGTCGTTCAGAACGTGGCGCACATGCAGGAAGCGCGCGTTTTTCTTTTTTGCGTGTTACCCGGCGCCTCCACATGTTGTACGAAAGTTTTGTTTCCATACGCCGCGACAAAATATTGACTTTTATTTAAACGCTCTGAAACATTTTTATTTTTATTTATATTATTATGGGATTAGACTAATCTTATCGGGGTTGTAATTTAATCAGAAATAATTGGTAAATGATCCCTAGATGCATGTCTGTTGGTAAATTTTACTCTAATGAGCAGGAGTAAGTGGAAAAAATGTAAAAGCTCAGAATGCGAATTAAAGACTCGCGGATGCGGCGTCCATTAATTTCCATTAAATTACGGCGCGCAACAACGACGCGAGCGATTCATCATTGACGTCGTTTACTGTCGACCGAACACGTCGATTGCATCGACCGCGCCGTCGTCTGCTACGAACTTCTTTTGCATTGGCGAAGTTTTTGCGTTTGCGAAATTTTTTCGCATCATTCGCGTTATTTATTTCAATTCGTAACGTCGTCTCGTCGAAAGCATAGACGCCTTCTGGAAACTACCCTCAACTGTTATACAACGAGTGATTTACGTAATTTTAACTTTTAAAATAATTAATTTTAGCAAACAGTTTAAACAGGAAAATAGACATACATTTGAAACAATGAAATTTTCGGCTTTTAATACTATTTACTTTAATAAAATGAGTAAATTTTTGCTAGTTTTGCACTTGAATGCATTTTTCTGATTACCCAGTAGATGATTGAGAGATCGATGCAATTTATATAAATAAGAAATGGTCGAAAACTATATTCAAAGTGATTTTTCTCAGTCAATTGTGAATCCATTTGTCAATTTGTTTATTCGCAATGTGGTGCGACTATATATTGCCGCCCTGAGCTCGTCCATCCCCACAAGTTTAGTTTAGTTCAGCCAGGGAAGCAGCGCGTATTGTCAGGTTTTCCGTGGAAAAGTCGCGCATAACTTAAAATATATGCGCCTAGCGCAACCCTGGGACTGGAATAAAGTTTCCTCTTACTTTTATTAAATAACAACAACTTTTCGGCATCCCACGGCGAGCGCCAAAAGATGAGAAACGACTGCTTTCGCACCGCTTCCAAAGTACTTTTCATCTGCAAACGAACTCTGCGCACAAAATGCGCAAAAATACGACGCATACGACATGTTGGACATAAGTTTGCGCGCCGCACACTTTACGCTTTCGAAAATTTTAATATTTTGCGTCCGGCAGCGTCAAATTGTGAGGTTAAAGTTGGTTATATTGTCTGAAACGCGACGGGTTTGAGCCGGAACGACAAAGTGATATGATGATTAGGTTAAATGGTGAAGAATAATAGACGTTCATTGAATGAAAACTTTGCAAGTTGCTCACGCTCGCGCTTTTCCAGCATCCGGCATTTTGTATTACTGAAGATGCTGGGCGCTTGCCTCTTATGACTTCAATTCGTATTCATTTCATCTAGATTCCTACTAAGCCTGGCGTTTATTTAACGTTGAGATTTTTCCTACTTTTACTATGGCTGCTTTTAAGACAAAAAAAACTAAATTAATTTGTTTAGAGTTTGTTTTCATATTGTAAATAAATATGACTATAATTAACTTACCTGAATGTACTTAGCACAGGAGTACATCACGATTACAAAATGCAAAAGCTCCGTCGGTGCTCATATTTCAGTTATGGACGAACGAAAATTAAGTTATAAAAATGCAAATTGAACGCGGCGTGGCGCGCACTGCGGCGGGGGGCGGCGCGGTGCGCCAGCGGTTATTAGTTCTGCTACGGCTTAAATTACGCTTTAATAATAATAACGTGTAACGCGCGCGAACTCCCACGACGCGCGGCTCATTCTTTCTCCCGTTGGCTCATACATTCGCGATACGTTCGCAATCGCCGCGGCGCCGCCGTCGGGTCACCCGGCGATGGTTTTTCGCATAATAATAAAACCAAAACTTAATCAAGCGCTTAATTGAGTTGGAACTTTTTATGGCGACCGGACTGCTGTGTTTTGCAATAATTAAATTTTCACCGACGCACACAGCGATGTTTTATGCGCTGGAGTGATTCATGGATGTGGTTTTATTACAAATATTAGGCAGATGGAATAGTCAACATCATGTTGTACGATTAAACTTAAATTTTTATAAATCCCACTATAATAATTCAAGGGTATGCGAAGAAATGGGAAAAAAATAATTTTTTACGTTTTTTATCCTTCACACTCAATATAAACCATAATAATTTATAATAACATTGAATTTTCGATATTTTTTCCGAAATGATTTATGTTTGTAACTAAAATTTCAAATTTATTGCATTTATTTTCACATGTGAAATACAAAACAATAAACTTTAGAAAAAAAAACTAAAACTACACTAAAAACTATGTTTCTTTATTTTAATTCACGTAATAACTTATATTACTTACTGTTATTTGTAAAAATTTACATAAATTTCATTCACAAAATGGCACAGAAATGCATAACTGCATTGTTTCTCCTCAATCCAACAAAATTACATGAAATTTCTAATCGAAAACGGCGAGTATATAAGACTTGCATCTTTGATGCCCGGATACTTCCATTTTATTTTACGCATAAAAATAAGAAAAGGCTAGTGCTTTTCTTTAACTAAATAGGACATTTCCATCTGGACGGCGCCTTGGCCCTGTTTGGAACGGGAGCCCCTTCGGTAACCAGCGTCCAAGCTGGGTTTGCGTCTGCTGAGGTGACGTTCCACCCAACGTAAAAGGGTTAGGACGGAATCCGTCGAGGGAAGACGTCTCTCGGCGTAGGTTTTGGTAATTTGTGAAGAGGTTACTCTAAATGTAGCTGCCATACCCTTCAAAGCCTGAAAAAAAAAATATATATATATATTAATTTTCTTAAAGAAGAAGCACTTGGGAATGATTACATACCTGCATAGCATCTTCATCAGTAGCATCATCGCCTGCGTAGATTATTCTGATGCGTTCACTCCAATCCACACCGAATGCAGTCCTTAGAATATAAATTGAAGCTCTACCTTTGTTCCATTGTACTGGTGGTTTCGCTTCAATGGCACAATGTGCTGACGCTGCTCTGAAACCAGCATCTTCTATGAGTTTGGTCGCTCTGGTCGTTAAGGGTTCCCGAAGATGAGCGGGTGTCTCCCTGAAGTGGAATGTTAACAAAGCTCCTTTGTTTTCTACCCAAGCGCCATCTTTACAGACTTCTTTCTGTAAGTTCTTTAAAAGTTCCCCTACTTTACCTTGGTACTTCGTGGGCATTGGATGCACGAACTTGGTACCATCAGGGTGTAAGATCTCAAGACCATGACTACCTGCATAAGTTATACCTTCAATTCCAACCATTTCCTTAACATTATTCACATTACGACCGGAGATAACAGCGATATACACATCTGAGATATTTGACAACCTTTGAAGAATGTGTTTAGTCTCTGCTGGTATGACAGCCAAGTCTGGATGCGGAGCAATAGGTGCCAGAGTTCCATCATAATCCAGTAAGAGTGCCAATTTGTGTGAGTTGCCAATATATTTCGCAAGATATTCATCAAAGTCATCTAAGGTCACTGCGGGCATTGTAATTGCCCCGATGTCGTCATGATCTGCTTGTGCAATCAAAGATCCCATTGCTGATAAGAAACTCCTCGTCCAGTAATTTACATCGTTGATCTTCTCACGACGCCTGAGATAATTCATGCGAAGAATTCTCTCGTCTTCCGGCATGGTTAGTGCACGATGGATGGTCTCAGCTGCACCATCAATCTCGTATGGGTTGCAGATTAATGCTTCATGCATGGTTTCACCTGCACCCGCAAATGGGGATACTATCAATACACCTGGTGGAGTGTTGATTTGGCAAGCGACAAACTCTTTTGCGACTAGATTCATTCCATCTCTTAAGGGTGTAACCAAACCAACAGCTGCTTCGCGATAGAAAGCAGCTAGGTCATTCTGACTTACACACCCGTAGATATATCTGATTGGTGACCAATTTGCCGTGGTGAAACGACCGTTTATACGTCCCACAAGTTGATCAATTTCTTCCTTCAATTCTTGGTATTCCTTAACGTCAGTACGAGATGGCACCGCAATTTGAAGCAGAGAAATTTTCTCTTTGTGTTCCGGGTGTTTCTCCAGCAACTTTTCGAATGCTAACAATCTGTTTACCAGTCCTTTGGTATAGTCTAATCTATCCACACCTAAAATAATCTTCTGCGTCGTAGAGAGCACCTTGGGAGCTTTCTCAGCCAACTCCACAAACCTTTCAAAGGGAATACCAATTGGAAGTGGTCGTACCCTAACAGTCCTACCACCATGTTCAACTAGGAGGTTCTTTCTGTCAACACGACATCCCAAATTTCGTTGGCAACAGTCCACAAAGTTGAGACAATAGTCCGTGATGTGGAAGGCCACCATATCACAGCCTAACATTCCCTGTAGAATCTCATCCGACCAGGGGAACAATCTGAAGATGTCCCAGGGAGGGAAGGGAATGTGCAGGAAGAAACCTAATTTACATGCGATGCCCTCCTCTTCAGCTGCCTGATACAAAATAAATATGCAATAAGTTTCTGGTTCAACGAACTTAAATTAGAGCACGACTATCAAGTGTCTAGCACAGAAAGCGGAAAGCAGAGATCTCTGGCTTTGGTGACCTTGATAATGCGCGTCGATAAGCGCATGTCAATTACAATAACTTATATATTGTTTTGTATTGCAGCAATAAAGCGTGCTGATAATGCTAATGCGCGTTAACGTATGGCATCAATAAACCATTCGCCAGTTAATAGAAAACAATCATTGTTGGCTAGCAACAATGCTGGACATACCTGTCTAATCCAGTTGGCGGCTAACATGAGATGGTAATCATGGATCCAGATGAGTGGCGCATCATTGGGACCTGTGAGATTATTAGTGGTTCCATTTTGTTTCTGAGTTTCTTTCTTCAGTCGCCTGAGAGCGGTCATGGTACAGTTGGCAAACTCTTTGTTTGCTGTGATGTAATCCTTCCAATGATGGGTATTGAAGGTGGCCCGGTCGGGCATTGAATGGAATAGGGGCCAGAATGTGGCGTTACAGCAACCATTGTAGTAGGAGTCAAAGACTTTCGGGTCAATACGAACTGAAACGACCTGGAAGTTAAAAAAAATATGAGGGTATTGCTCCTAGAATCGAGATATCTTGAACTGGATAGAACTGGTTTGATGGTGTTATTACCTTATCAGATTTAAGACCAGCTGTTGGTGTGATATCCTGAGGATCTGATTCTGGAATAGGTTCATTGGGATCATCTAAGTGGACTCCCGGCCATCCAACCCAGAGACCATTACAGTTGACTACAACTGGGGCGACTGCGGTTACCAGACCACCAGCGCTAAATAAAAATGATTTTATTTAAAATTTCCCAAATTTTCCCAAAAAAAAAATTGTTTTAAAACCTACCTGGCTTTTCTACAAAGGTCTCCGTCCTTATTCCTCTCTAAAACGAATGGCAGCCGATTGGAAACCACAATCATGCTATCCGAGGAGGTGACCACATCTATGTTAACAGACATATTGTTTTCGTTAAATCATCAATCAGAACCTTCACCCGCGCATCACCAACACCGCAAAAATAAAAACAAAACCCGAGCAATATGTTTTTAAATATGTACGAGGTAAACAAAATGTTTTTATTGAATTTGTGATTGTTTATAACATTAAGGGCGCGCGGGCGGGTGAGTACGGACACAAACAGGTTGATGCGTTGCACTGAAAGCACGCTCACGACGACCGCCCGTATTCATATGCATCGCGGCTGATTCAAAACCGTACAAGAGCAAAGTTTAACTCACACTCGCTGTTTGCGTTGGGGTCATTAAGATTATCGGTCCAATGGTCATTCATATTTACGATTATTATTGTGGAAACACTTATTAAAATCTATACGCACATATTTGTTTAAAACGGCGCGCATACGCCAAACGGCTCGATTTATCCGGAGCTCCAGAATCTTATCGCGATATGACGAATTCACATTCATTTCAATAAAAAAATACGATTTTTTATCCGAAAGGGTAAAAAAAGTATGCAGATTTTATATTGATTGTTGATAGATTTAGATAATTTATAATAATCAACTGATAAAGAACATAAAAATACATCCTGAATAATCATTGTATGTCTAAATGTTTATCAACATTCCCCCTTGTTAACACGTTAATGCGTTGCAGTGTGACAATAATTTGCACTTTGTATAAAATTAAACAAGCACAACAATCGTTACGTCGAGATGCGTAACAGAAACCATGTTAAATGCACCGGTTATAAGCCACAAAGTAGAACTGGCTAATGAACATCATGGCAATTTGTTCACGCAAACAAATACGTTACGATATTTGTTGTTTAAGGACGTTTCTGAGCAAATCTAGACAGTAAACAGACTAATAAATATAGATCACATTATAAATAAACATTGTTCGCATTGATCTGTCTTATATTTATCTCTGCATCTTTTATTAATGGTAAAAAATCTAACCAGACTAAACAAATTAATGGTACACGATTAATTTTCTTGTCTGAGGTTAGTTCACTGGAATTCGTGTGTTGGTTTTTTATGACAATGGTATTTTGAGAAAAAGTAAACACTGAAAATGTCACGCAATGATACCGACATTGGCCATGACAATGAAAGTGTATCGATTAACTGTAATTCTGTGAAAACAAAAGTTTTTATTGAAAGATAATTAAATTTGTCGTGATGAAAAAATAAATAATAAAAAATTGTCATGAATATGGATGAATGAAAAAATATTTACGACAATAAAACAATACATCACTTTGTATAATAAAAATAGTCATGGAAAATTTTATCCGGCGATAAAATTTTAGTAATTAAATATTTTCTTAGAAATTCAATCAAATTTCCATTCGAGTAATTCCGAAAATTGAAAATGCGTGGCGTAAGTATGTAAATTATAAGTGCATTTATGCATGACGATGCACAAAGACCTTCCTGTCAAAGCTCTCATCTAATAGTTCATTATCTCCGAACGCGTTTCCATGTACGCGCACGAACATTCGATCGCATTAATAATTATTTAAGCGAGCGACTATTAGCGCCAAAGCGGCTCGCGGCGCATCAGCAGTTTCGGCAGCCGGCCGAAAATTACGTAAACTGAGAAGCATTATTCAATAAATAATTATCAAGTTAACGACTTGTTTGACACGCTCGAATCAATTAATCATCTCTAATCGCTATAGACGCACATTGGTAAGCGGAGGGAAGATTTTAGAAAATCGTTTATAATCTTTTGATTTTACGCTACAGCGCGTAAAACGTTAAATATATCAAAATATTGTTGCACAGGTTGCACAGCTAAATTAATCAGTGGGCATAATTAAATGTTTAAGTCGTAGCCCTGGTATAAAATAAACAAAAATATTTTTCGCAATGTGCGCTGTATCATATAACAGGCGCAATTTTTAAACTTCGCAGTCGTTTAACCCAGTTTTGCCAACAGTTCTTATCGATGTTTACTTTTATGCTGTTTTATACTGAGTGGTGACCTATATTAATTTAATTTAATCATCAAAATAACGAAATTGCATTTTTATTGCCAATTTTTGAAAATTTTTATTTGTGATTCCTATAAATATGATGTAATTGATCCATATTTTATTGCATCGATAACAGAAACTGGGGCCGAATTCCGTAAACAAATTTGGGATCATTAGAGAGTCATTATCGTCATAACACTAAATTGCTAACTATTTTATCAATCGCATTCCCGACCTCCCATCAACAGAAATATTGGCTATTATAATATTAATAATATATTAAAATATTATAAATCCGTCTCAACTAAAAAAATAATAATTTTTCTTCGACTATCGGCTTTTTACCGGTTTGGTGCGGTTTGCGCATCGATGTCGCCGGAATTATTTTGGACGCAGTGGATACAATTGCGTTTTCTGTTGCCCGAAATAATGCAGCATGATTATTAGCAATTATGTGCGATTGTGTCGAACAATGTTTGCATTGTGATAGTTAACAAGTAAACGTGCGGCGAGTTTGGCGAGTTTTTATTATAAATTAACGCGCACGCTTGTGCGTCAACGCGAAAATCACCAAAATCAACAAGTTATTCAATACAATATGCTATATAGGCACAAACACGGAAAAGAAACAAAAATATGCTGTTTTAAAGGCATGAAACATGGTTTAATACTGTTTTTGTGATTAACATCACGGTTATCAAACATGGCGTGGCGAAGCGCGCGAATTAATTTTATAGCTTTCGTTATTCAATAATTACTCGAAAACTAATTGAGATTTTATTGTTATTTTTACAAAAGTTTGTTCGGTATTGAATTCTCTATCATTTTATGTGAAAATTTTTTTTAACAGAATATTGAAAGCAAAGTTATAAACAATTAAAATTTAGTTTTCTAAAAATTTTGAACTTGTCATATATTGGCCGATAAATTATGATAAAATAACTTTATAACTTAAATCTTTGCGTGAATAGATCCAAAATTGATTATGGAATAGATTTGTAAAGAAATTATTAATCTATAAAAGTTAGTTTTAGAGTAATTCATTAATAAATATTATGTCATTTATTGATTAAACTTGTTTTGCATTTCAAGTTCTTTTTTTGTTTTTTGCATTTTGTGTAAATTTAAACAGATAAAAATTAGGTTCATTGCATAATATTGACGTCTAAAGCTCTAAAACAAAGTTCATAAACAAAAATACCTTCATTTTCTTGATCAAAATATCCCTGGTCATCAAACTGAATCTGGACGAGTTTCTTCTGCACCATTTTGCATCGAATTCAAATCAAGACCTACCACAAACAATTTGCAAAAGTCGAGTTTCCATAAAATAAACACCGCCCAATTTAAAATCAAATCACGTGTATGATTTCTCTAATTTCAGTCGGCTTTCTAAATAAAAATAAATAATTAATGCACTGTATATGCTCAGACATTCAGACTAGATGTCTACCAAACAAGCAGCCGTACTGAACGAATCACTGAAAGCCGTCACGATATTTATTAGGGTACAATTCGTAGCACACGCATCTCTTATCTGTGTTTGTGCGATTTCGTGGCAGCGCGCGGGGCTTGTCGCGCACTCGCCGTGCTTTCATTTCTCTTTCCACCGGCGATATTTTCACGACCATACATTACCTACATAATTGTTTACATGTTAATGTTTATATCAAGGTATACTGGTTGTGGCGTTAATTTCCAAGCTGTGTTTTTCAACAGATCGCCGCAATTAGGGTCATTATATGACGTCACGTGTCACACAATCGCATCAACAGTTTTTCACGTGCGCAGAGTGTGGACATGCTAATGATTTCGCGCTCGGGGGGCGACAAAAATAAAAACCGAATGCCTGCTGTGTGTGTCATAGAGAATATCTTGACGAAATGGAAATTCACCCGTTTCATCATAATGTGTGTGTGTATACAGTGTGCACGCGTGTGTTTGATGATTGTCGCGAGCCTTGCTTGGGTCCGTGTTTGTTAAGATTTTTTTATTTGGTTGAGATAATAAATATTAATTGCAATCGTGGTAAAATACTGTAAAAGTTCATAAATAATGATAATATTATGTTTGCGGTGATGTTTTGAGTGCTTAAAAATATACTTTTGAGTATTAGTGTTTAAAAGTGCTTATATTGCGAGGTTTTTTATTAAAAATTGCGGTCATGTCCTCGACAATGAAGATTAAACTGTGGCAATTCCAACTTTATGTAAATAAACAAATATTTATCGCGTCATGCGCAAATAAGATGCAAGTAGTCGAAATTCTACGCATTGATGCCCTTGTCACTTGAAAAATAACATTTAACACATTATATTGCCATTAATTATAGACTAAACATGATAAAACTTAACATAGATTTGGTTTCTTTTATTATATTTTTTTGCAATATTGACTAATTTGTGCATTAAAGCTATAAAAATGCAATGGTAATATTTTGTAGTGCGTAAAAACGTTTCTTTTTGCATCCTACGCCATTATTTTTCCTCTGCGTGTATAAAAGTTTATTTTACACGTAATAATCTTACTTTTCTATATAATTTTGATATTTAATCAAAAAATATTCGTACAATACCTACCCAAATTTTGTGTTTCTTACATTTTATTTCGATTAATCTAATACCCTATTGACATTATACACTTTGATCTATACTTGGATGGTATTCGCATAGATTTTCCTCTTCATGACTATTGATGACATCTACTTCCGCATGCAGGCTTAAGCTGATTTGCCAAACGTCGCGCGTTGTCAATTTACGATTCGCGCGACGATTATGCTCCGCACGAGTAATGCGCCGCCGTAAATTGAGGGCGAACGCGTTGCACTGCGACGCATTATGTGTCTAATCTTGCAAATCCTCGAAATAATTTCGTCGCAGCTGCAATAATGAGCACGCGCCTGCAATTTCCTTCGCGCGCTCCGACTGGGATTGCCGCGTGCATTTGTGCACTTATGCATTTACGCCCTGATGCGATGATACTCCAGCGTCGGTGTCGGTAACTTTAGAGTTGAGAATATATAAAGGACTGTGAGATAGAGTTTCCAGTGAAACATGGCGCGCGGAATTCTAGCAGAGCCCAAACGTGCCTGCAGCTTGCGTTTCACGAATGTGTTAGGGCGCATTTTGCAAAGCCGCTGACAAATATTTGCGTGATTCGGTTGCAATGCGTTTATTTGGATCTTATCGTGCGTGAACAACTGTTAAATCTTTAATTAAGTGCCAGATATATGCAAGCATATTATTCATGAATGCATATATTATACAACAAGAGTGTAATACTCGTAGAAAAAGTTATTTCGGTGTTTTAGCGCCGTCTGTTGGCCTTAATGTGAACTACTTTTTGAAAAATTAATATTTTCGTGTTTTCGAATTGAAAAAGTGCAGTGAAATGATATTTAACTTCAAAATGATTAAATTTTGCAGATATTTATATAAAAATTATAATGTATATCTCTTGCCGCGTTATATTTATCAATATTTAAATGATTGCATTCTAGGTATCATAATATATGCGGTGTATAATCTATTTTAACCAGATATTAAAATTGTATTTTCAAAATATTCCGCATGTTCGTAATTAAAACTGCACTCGAACAATAAATGCACATTTATATCGAACATGGCAAGTTTATGGTAAATTAATGCGTTATTACCTCGAATAAACTTTTGAAATTAGTCGTATTGCAGAACCGGTATTACACAAATTGTTTCCATAAATTAATTTCACAATAACTCATGTTTGATGGAATCGTTTAAAACGCCAAAAACAGGTTTTATTGAGGATAACATTTGCCACGATTATAAAATCCCTTTTATGCGCTGTGGAATTCAATGAGTATTCAATAAATTGTTTTTCATTTGCAGAGTGTTGAAATGCTGATAATGAGCATATAAATCATTGATGTTAAATAAAAACACACTGATTTGTTATCTCGTGGACCACACGAACTGACCGAAGGCCGAATCATTGAAAATTCCACCAAAATTTCGATCAATCTAGTCTTGATCCAGTCCGTTCCAGAAATACCGATGCGTGTATTGATAAATCAGACCGAATTCCAATCTGCATTCTCCAACACAACCTTATTGCATGTAAGTACAGCCTAAACGTTTATAATTACTTGAAATATTTATGATAACGATATGTATATATGTGGTGTGGTTGTGTTGGTGAGTTGGTAAGTCCGGTGATAAGTAAACCCGTCTTTTCCAATGATAATGTTTGTGCTGTACTTGTATTTATAGGAGCACATATTATTTATTACTCCTTCATTCCATAACAAACAGTGGCGTTATTGTATCATAACAGTCATGATATTTTGTTTTTGTGAATAATTAATTTATTGGTGGTATTGACATAAGTATAGTAAGTGACTTAAGTAATATTTGTTAATATAACATGGTATTATCATGTTAATTTAATTTTTAAGCATATTTTTTGGAAATTTTGGTTTATGAAAAGTTTATGAGCGCTAGGGCTGTAAATATTTTACTTTTTAGGTCTCAAATTTAAAGTAATGTCAGTTTATGTCTAGGTTATTTGCGTTACAGAATTAAATAACCTACAAAACGTAAAAAACCGACGCAAATGAAATAAGCGCAAAATTATACTGTGTACAACTGTTGGAAAATTATTATGACACCCCCACTATAATTTTCCGTCTCTTAATTTACAACACTATCAATATTTAAGTTTGTTTAATGATAACGTGGTGCTTATAATACTTTGATGATGAAATATTTGAAAGTTGCGTATTGACTTACTTTCAAAGCTGGTAAACGAAGGATTCCGCGGATAGCGTCTGCCAAAGAGTCCTTCGACATGATGTCCTTCCATGTTACTGCCTCTGGCGATGGAAAACTTGGGTGAGAAAAGCCTTGACAAGTCTCCACGTGCGATCACGTTGCGACGCGGTGATTTATTGACTGCGCCGACAAATTTAAATAAAAACATGAATATCGCATCGGTCCCAAATGACTTACGAGGAAATCTCTAATTACCGATGCGGCGTGGTGCGGTGGGGGAAGCGATTTAGTAACGACGCTTATTACCATTCACTACGAAAGATATTTTTATTGTAGTTTTTCTCGGATTTGTGTAAATGTTTGTTGCACTTACGACCCGGACAGTGCGAGGAGTTAATTTTGACGCACGATGAATATGTTTTGATGATACACTTTTAGTTCAACTGAAACTGATGCGCAACAAAATTTGTCGCATTTTTTATCAAGTGTAGTAGATATTGCGTGGTTTGCTGGTGGACAACGCACTCGCTACTCGAATAACTGCACACGTATATCTCACTGTACAGACTTTGAATGTTAGGAATTAGTTTGATATCTGCTGTTCTAGCTGGTTTACCTTTGTGTACCACATTACGTCACTGACTTTGTCATTAAATTAAGAGAGGAAATAATGTCCTAAACACTATTTAATTAATGAAAACTGATGCGAATAATGCAAATGAACAATTTAATGCTTTGCTTATACTGAGGTGATACTGTGAATATTATTAGAAGTTAAATGTTTAATTGTTTGCGTATCACATGTTGTTCATTCTCAACACACGTGTTAATCGCATTACTTTTATTACCGCTTGGATACATAATTAAACATGCACACCGTCGCAAGATTATAAGAATATGTGCATGGTTAATAGGCTTTTAAGTACATGGGTTTCCCATTTAGTGGGTAATTGTTTTGATGTTTTACAATTTGCGCTTTTCGGAAATGTTGCGTTTTGTGGTTCGATTCATTTTGAATGTGTGTACAGATATGGTGTAGTTAGATGAAGGTGAATTTCCTCGATCATAGTAATGGAATGAAATAAATCTCTATAACTATGGATGAATAGATCTATAGATAGAGTTGTAGACATTGGCGAATGTGCAAATTGGTAACTGCCAATTTATGGGCGTCAATGAGCGTCAGAGAACGTCAGTGAGCAACAGCGGGCACCGCAACCTTCAATTAGTGAACGATTCATGATTCATGATAAGATTGAATAGGTTGTATATAATTCAAACGCGATTTTGCTTTGTATCTTCTCATAAACTAAAGCAACTAATAATATTGACAAGAATATTTCACCAACTGTTTGATGTGATAAGTACAGTGTTAATAACTCATTTTAAACGCGATGATAGTCACATAATTCTAATTTTGAGGCTCCTCTGTCGCCTTTATCTGACAGGTAATTTGATAGTCCCCTCCACTACTACCGGTGTTCTTAAGCTCATGCAGCTTACAGCTTCTTCCACTAATTTTTACAGGTAGCCCACAGGTTTAAAAGGGTAGAGCACGAGGTTCCACGGGTTTTAGTTGGTTTTTGGTTCGGGTAGACTGGTGACTCGGTTTGTGTTTTTTTTTATACAAAGAAAGAGTTGCGAAGAAATTAGATGTTATAATCCATATTATATATCTTCTTCTCCTTCTTCTTATTCTTCCAAAATAGGCACTGTTGCCTGTTCTTCTTCAGTGGGCCTGGCCGAAGTGATCACTCCACCTTTTTCTTGGTCTACCGAGTGATCTTCTTCCTCTTGGAGAGTTGTCTCTAGCAACCCTAACTATTCTCGATCCTTCCATTCTTTCTATGTGTTCATTCCATTCGTTCCTTCTCATTTCGCTCCATTCAGTAATGTTTTCTATTTTGCACGTTCTTCTGATGTCCTCATTCTTGATTCTGTCTCTGATCGTTTTGCCTTCCACACACCGTAGTGTTCTCATTTCTGCTGTTGTAATATTATATATGAAATATCAAAATATCCGATTTCTCTTTTTGATTTTGATCTGCAAGTTGGGTTGCATACGTAATCGTTCTAGCTACAGCGCTTGTTGTTCGTAGTGAACGCTTTAGGCACTAAGCCTTGCCATGGCATTTGTGCCGTTCTTGTATTAAGCGCTGCGTTTTTATTGACTCTAAAACATTAAATAATAATAAAACTAGTGTTTAATAGTAATCAGTGAAGATGGCCACATCGAAAACCACAAACACTTATAATCGTCAAAACTGGGAAGATTCCGTACGTATTCTACTCACTAATCCCAAGAGAACAAAATTAACCTCTAAATTTGCCCACTTTAGGACTTTCCTATTCTTTGCCAAACATGTTTGGGCGACAATCCCTACATCCGTATGACCAAAGAAAAGTTCGGCAAAGAATGCAAGATTTGCGCGCGACCTTTCACTGTCTTCCGCTGGTGTCCAGGCGCGCGAATGCGTTTTAAGAAAACTGAGGTATGTCAAACCTGCAGCAAATTGAAGAATGTTTGTCAAACATGTCTGCTCGATCTTGAGTATGGTTTACCCATACAAGTGCGTGATGCAGCACTCAAAATGAAAGACGACGTTCCAAAAAGTGATGTTAACAAAGAATATTACATCCAAAACATGGAGAATGAATTGGAAAAGGGAGATGCTGGCATGCTTTCAGGTAGTAAAATTAATGAACCCAATGAGGTTCTCATGCGATTAGCGCGCACGGCGCCATATTACAAGCGGAACAGGCCGCATGTGTGTTCGTTCTGGGTAAAGGGTGAGTGTCGGCGTGGAGAAGAATGTCCATACAGACATGAAAAACCAACTGATCCTGATGATCCACTGGCTGATCAAAATATTAGAGATAGGTACTATGGTGTGAATGATCCAGTGGCAGATAAACTTCTGAAACGAGCGGCGGCCATGCCTGCACTACCGCCGCCAGATGATAGGTCAATTACAACTTTGTATATTGGTAATATTGGTAATCTCACTGAACAGGATCTCAGGTATTGCATTTCGTAGGAAATTTGTTAATTTTTGACCTAATTTATGTATTTTCAGGGATCACTTCTATCAATATGGCGAGATACGTTCACTCAGCGTAGTAGCAAAGCAACAATGCGCATTTGTCCAGTTCACCACTCGCCCTGCAGCAGAAAACGCCGCTGAGAAAACGTTCAACAAGTTAATTCTAGGCGGTCGTCGTCTAACGATCAAATGGGGTCGATCTCAAGGTCGTTCTGGTGCACCAGTCGCGGTTCAGAACTTGGAAATGTTTGATCCGGTGCCTGGTTTGCCTGGGGCGTTGCCAGAGTTGAGTAATAATTTCTTCAACCTGGAACCCGGGCATATTCCGTTGCCCAACATGCCACCGCCGCCTTCTTTGCTTGTTCCGCCAATGTATCCGCCGCCACCACTGCCGCAGTTCTACTTTAACCCACCGAGACTGCCAACGTTCCCGCCGCCGGATATTAATACAGTTCGGCCATCGACTAGTACTGCAACTAGTGCGGATGCACCAGGTCCAGGAGGTAACAAAATCGTGCATTACCCTAGTCAGGATCCGGCACGGTTAGGCGCGACGCAACTGCACGCAGATTGTCAGGAGTAAGCCTTTCACAGAAATAGTATGTAGGAAGTGCAAGTAATAATTTTTGAAACTTTCCAGCGCATTCTTATAAAATAATTAAGTTAATTGATTTATGTTTATGTAAATGACGAGTGAACAAAAGGTAATCACTCAAGATATTCAAATTGTTTTTTTTTTACAATCGGATTACTTAAATCATCTTAAAACATAATTAAAAATTACTGTCATCTAAAAATGGCTATTGAACACCTAAGCCATGTCTAACAATCTGTTCAGCGATGTAGGCAACCATGCAGAATTGTTTGTACTGTAGAAAACCACGTTGCGGTCGATATAGCATTGTGTGCCTGCCGAGCCAAAGCGATAGACTTGTTTCGCCTCGTGATATTTATTGGATATAGGCACGAAAAGTATTCCGCGCTCTTCGCAGCGCTTTGCAATCAGGTCTTTGAAACCTTGCGGAATGTTGGAGGCAACACGCGCTGCCTCCGACATGGAGTCGATTCTTGGTGCAGGTGGGGGCGGTGGTGCGTATGTTGTTTCAATATTAGTCAGGTACGAGACGGACTCTTTAGCGCCTGGTTGATGACCGTTTCCGACAGCGCGGTTCATCATTTCTAACGCTTTGTGAAAATTATCTATAAAAAAAGATACACAGATGAAAATATTGTTAAAAACGTGTTTCTTGTTTTGTTTTGTAACCTTTAATAGTTGGTTGAGCTAATAATTCATCAGACATCATACGTTTCCATCCGGAATACCATTCGGTGACTTGTACATAATCAGGGTTATGATTTAGCCACAATGCTAAAGTTTGCAGCCATCTTGGAAAGAAAAACTTGTCAAGGATTAGAGTCATGTTTCCAACTGATATCATATCATTCCAGTACATAACCCAATTCCAAGCTTCTATAAATAGAAATTCAAAATTAGTTTTACAAGTTCCTTAGTGGTGCTTGTCAATCTCGTTACCTAAATGTTGTTGGTGTGGATTAATAGGCAAATTTTGTATGCATAACTGCAGTTTGGGTACAATGTGTTTGACTAAAAACACAACAAATTGTCCGTCGGGAAGAACTCTCTGCCACGGTTTAAGCATAATTTTCGCGGATTTATCCGATGGATGCCAACTCGTCAAGGCAGTTCCCAATTTTTCTTGGATTATCGGATAAATTGTATCGTGTAGCTTTGTATCTAAAACAGAAAAATTAGTTTAATCTTTAATTTAACAAAATTTTTCGTATAAAACAAACCCATTAATGGAATCCAAGGATGCACCCAAGTATGAATCGGTACTGTGTCCGTCACAGGATCCCATATTCTCACTTCTTGTACAAGTTTTGGTATGACGAGTTGATCGAGAATGTTATTGACAATCCATTGTGGTAATATCGGCATCCACTCATCTAGAACTTGGATCAATGGGTCGGAATCGCGTGCTGACCAATTACTACAAGAAAAGTTACAAGTTATAGCTTATGATCCACGCATTTGTAAATAAGTTTTGTTTCAGAAAATCATTTGATTTAATTTTTAATTTTCTGGAACAAATTTGAAAACATAAAAGAATAATAAGAACTAAAACGCTACTTAAACTGTCGACACATTGGACTCTCCACACGCAATTCGGTTCTCTTCCAATAATTGTAAAAGTTCGAGTAACAGTTTTTTCGTTTTGCTTTCTGGCTGTTATAGGTTTTATGTTTGGTTTGTAAGTTAAATTGGTGCGAACTTACCTCACACACGCTCTTATTACGGGCACCCAAGTGTGCCATAAGAGACTATCATACGGCTGTATTCCCATACTATTACCTTCAATTGTCCCACGCTGGGTCGGCGTCAAAAGTTCTCGCCATTGCCGGAATACGTCTAAGTACAGCGTCGGCTGCGTCAGCGGCTGCCAATTGGCCAGCGCCGACGTTAGCAGCGGTCCCACCAAGCCTGGTGCCAGTTCGCTTAGTTCATATTGACAGTATTCTTCATAATGATCACGCTACAAAGCAAAACACAAAAATTATGTTTAATTTCACATTTTCTTTTCTTCAACTGTAATTTTACCTGCAACGCTTTGAAACTAGTCGCCACCTGTCCAAGCGACAGCCCAGAGGCGGGATCAACCAGCCGATTGACGATATCCAGCACATCTTGAAGGTTTTTCATGTCCGCATCCTCTTTGATCAGCAGTTTCTTGAGTCCCTGTTCCTCTTGCTCCAGCGATACGATGCGGTCCTGGTTGTAGTGTGTGCTGCGATCGATTCGTATAATATCCTGCTCGCACATGTCCACTAAAATATCCAAATTATGCTGAATTTCGGGTAGTGCGAAATTTGTGCACTTTTTACGCAGCACATCTTCGTAATTCTCCACGCCTGTTGGTGTTTTCAAGCCTGAAAGAGCGTGATAGCCACTGAGGACTCTTTGTTGTGGGCCAGTCATGTCAATAACTTTGACTTTACTTAATTCACTAAAGAGTATATAACAGATATTAGTCATTTATTTCATGGAGATTAATAGTAAGATTAAATTACCTTAAATTGTTTGCATTTTTGAATACTCCTGGTTTCTTTCCCTTTTCTATAACATCATCAGCACTTCTGTAGTAATATCTAGTTTTCTTGGAGATATCTTTCTTCCATTTTGATTCTTTTGGATCTTGTTTTGATGTTTCTTCACTGGGCATAATAATATCCTACAATAAAATATAATGAAATTGATATTTATGGTAAACACAAAAGTTACTTACTGGTTGAGCAAGTGAACTTTTTTTTTCTGGTCCATAAGCCCCTATTGCTCCTCTTCCTTTTCTCAAGTGGGCCTCAACTGGTGCTGATATACCCTGCAAATCTTTGCCTAAACCTCTCCCTGGTTGGAAACCCATCTGAAGCAATAGTTTTGCTCCAATGCCCTTGGTGTGTTTCTCCCAGGTGCCAACTCCTCTGTTCATAAACTGAGGATTGAAACTGTTTCTATTTCTAATGCCAGCTATATCACCACCCATCTCTGATGTGTTTTGTGCACCACCAAAGCCAACTCTTGCAGTTGATTCATCCTCGGAATCACTGGAGCTTCTTTTAAATGAAGTTGTTGGTTGTTCTTCTTCATCTGATTCATCTGGCTTCTTATGCTCTTCAATGGGTGGCTTCTTCTTGCCTGCTTGTTGTACACCACCAGCAACAAAGCCAATTGGTGCTGTGTATGCTTGTTTTGCTTTTGTGGGTTTATTTTTGTAGTTATTATCATTCTCTTCATCACTATCATCAGCCCAGATTCCTTGAATTAAAAATATTTTATGGATTAATTTAATAAAATAATAGAAGCACATGAAACAAGGCGAATATGTTTAGTATTTACCGTAGATTTGTTGGTGTTTAGAATTTCCTTTGCGTTTTCGATTGATGTTGAACTCGTTTTCAATATCATAATCTGTTATTTCGAACTTTTCTCTTTCGTCGTCCGACATTGTGATAAATATTAAAACAATGGAAGTATTTATTATTATTTTCTTATATATTACGTTTGTTTGTGTTTAATAAACTTATTCGCCTTCATAGTTTAACGATTTCTGAACGTACACCTTAACAGCTTTAACCTAAACGTAGTTTTCATTCAATGACAAACTTGTCAACTATGATGCAATATTTTTAGTCAAATTTAAAAAAGTGGATAAACATTTTGCTGATATAATCTATATGAATAAGGTAACTTTATTAAAAAAAAGTTGTTTACAACTACTGTTTAAATAATCCGTTTTTGCGCAATTTGCGACTTAGCAATTATTCAATAAGTTTGTATTATTTTGCATACACTTTGTATACATTAGTAAACATGTCAGTCAGGTCATGACATGTGGTAGCACCATGGCGTCTCTCAGTTTTTATCTTTTCTATTAATTTCAATAACAATTTATTAACAACAAATAGTTAAGTGCTAAACTAAGAATTATGCGACAATGGTATCGCTATACAACGAAATACATTTTTGGAGCACACACGAAGACATCTTCATATCGCCAAGCGATTTTACCAGCACAAAGTAATTATCAAACATATTTACTGCTTTTAAACAAAAGCAATTGAGATAAATAACAATTATTGTTTTTAATTATCGTTACTTTAAACTTATAATTCTAGATTTTTAACTAGAAAAGATGCAAGCAATACTGAATGTAAAACAACCTACTTCACAAAAAGAGGCTTTAAGGTCATCCTTCCAAACAAGAGACCTGAAAAACTCAGAGATAAGCTACAAGAGTTTGAAGAAGCTTTACAACTTCACACAATTGTAACTTATAACCAATCAGATAACCTCATCCAATTTTTACTCTCAAAAGGACTTATTATCAATGTAAAACTCAGTCAGAATGGTGACCTTTCTGAAATCAACTTTGACAAAACTCTTGTTCCAAAGGTGCAATCAGATTACATTGTGGATGGAATCATCAACCAAAATCAGGTGGTTGCATCATGCAAAGACAATAAAATTATAGGATATAGTGATATTTCAAAAGAGTGGACAATTGAAAGTGCCTTTAGAAGAAATATCAATGTCTATGGTGAATGGTTGGTTTGTTGGGGCAGAGCAGAGAATGATCACCCACAACCATGGAGTCCACTTGCCAAGGATCACCAGAGGGCAAACATCCATTTATACTGGATTGGCTCTAGAGGACCAGATCTTTTATCTCATAAGAAAACTGAAGGTGAACCTATCAAAGTCATTGTGAGCAAGAAAGCACACAGAAGTTTGATTCTGGTTGAACAGAAGGTTAGTCAGAAAGGTGCTGTGTCTGTAGAAGTTTCAGTATTGGAGTTAGTTGGCAGTACACTAAAAAGAAACATGGTTACATTGATGCCACTGCAGACACAGGTATGTTGCTCAAGTTTAAGTCACAATGAATCATTCTTATTGATTGGATGCATTGATGGCTCATTGGCATTGCTAGACAGGAATCGTGGTTCTACACGAACCATTAAAAATTCATTCATTCCAACGTACTTAACGTTTCATGAGAGCGAAACAATTGCGGTGGTTATGAACGAACGGGGGTACCTGCAGTATTATGACATTGCTTTAAACTGCCTCACAGTGCAGATGAATAACGACGAAGGTCCGATTGGGATTTTAGATATTTCGAAATATTTTGAAGATCAACGTGTGGTTGAGTCGGTCTATTGGGGAACCGGTGACATTTTTATATCGATGGATAGTGGACCATTGGTTCTGGTGAGGCATGTAAAGGAGTCGTTGAGATTTGTCTCGTTGATTCAGATGTACCTGCATGCACATAAAATTGACAAAGCGATAAGTTTGCTTTTGTCTTGGGAGTTTAATGAAGCAGCTTTTAATGCGCTGCAAAGAATAGTGGCGCAGATTTTGAGAACACCACTGAATGAAACCACCGCGAAGCTTTTACAGGAAGCTTTAGGTAGTTATCATAGTCCGCCTGTACCTCTGAGTGCAGAAGTCCGTCACACTTACGGATTGCAAGTGAAATCACTAACAAGAAGGTTTTTTCATCAATTAGTGCGAACGAAAATGTTTGAAACCGCTTTTCTTCTGGCGGTTGACTTGGGACATCATGATTTGTTCATGGATTTACATCACATTGCTGTGGATCTGGGTGAAACTGAAATGGCAGCCGCTGCAAGAGCGCAAGCGTCCAGTATTCTCAGTCAATGTTCAAGTGAAGCTTCGAATTGTTCCCGTACATCTTGTTCTCAATGTCTTGACTCATCAAGCGAAGAAGAATCTCTTCGTGAAGATACTCAAGAAAATAGTGATTATCTCAGCACGAATTTCAACAATCCTGTCCCGAAAACTTACAAACCAGCCTACGTTCCGCCCATTCCTAATATAGACCTTCCAAAAATCAAATTACCAAGTAAGTCAACCATTCCAACACCTCCTTTACCCATGGCAAGCTTTAATAGTATTGGTATTCCAATTACAACCGCCAATCATCATCCTTTACCATTTCATCCAAATATTACACCCGTACCACCACCAAGAGTCCCTTTTTTACCTCCTCGGTTTAATATTAACACATTGAATACTCTAAACACACCAGTTTTTAATACTTTAAACACACAATCTGAGAATCGATTTATACCGATTCCTATTGGATCGGTATCTGCTAGTGTTTTAAATCCCAATTTGGGTGTAACTACAGGATCAGGTCTAGGGTTAGGGTCGACTCCTGCACATACATCAAGAATTCTTACACCTCCATTGCCACAAACCACCATTCCGCTAATTCCTAATATTTTACACCCACTAAATCCTGCAAATCTCAATCCTCAGACTGCTGTCCCCCAAGTTGTAAGCGCGAGTACAACGAATACAAATGGTAACAATGCCAATACTTCATCGAGTGGAATAACACAAAACCAACTGAAGAAACCACAACCCAAAGTTAAATTCTCCGACACGGTGACGGCATTTATTGTGCCAGAGGTAAAACGTCCTGTAAGACATCCGCCGCCTGCGCATGTAATGGATCCACAAAAAGAACTCGCTGATAGCTTGCCGTTGTGTCATCCTAATGAGGAATACTTAAAAGATTTCACACCAATTCGTAGAGATTCGAATGATAGCCCGCCCCCTCAACCACAGCCGAAAATTACTGTGGTACATTTTGGTGTGGTGTGATTTATTTGACATTTACGCAATAATCCGTCCGTATTAGTTCGTTTCACGAACAACGAATATTACATATGAAAACTCTATTTATTCAGATATTTAATGTTAATTTATATTATGTATTTGCCTATTTTTATACACTGAAGATATTTTACTACTTGGACTTTTTGGCGCCACCTAATTCATCAAGTTCCTGTTTTAAAGTGAGCAAATCCTTATCTGGGATATAGCGCTCTTCTTCGTGGTGGAATTCGTGTTTTTCCACTTTTACTGAGACACCAGCAGGTGTTGATGCTTCAATTGCTCTTAATAATGTTGGCAACTGAAAGAATTATGTTTTTTGTGATGTTTTTACTGCTTGATTCTTCAATAACTTACTTGTGTTGTAAAAACATCATTCAATTGCAATACTCTTCTGTAGATTTTCAAATTATATTGTGAGTTAATAATATCACTGTTAGGCTTGAGGGTTGTAATTTGCATTGCCTGTGGTGGCAGTGCCCAGCCCTCTTCAACATCAATTTCCATTTCTTTTGCAATGCTATTTATCAAAGCCTGATAACTTTCTAAGATGGCATAGTCATAGCCCCTCACTTCTATATTTAAAGAATCATACAAAGGCACGACGGGTTTTAGTGCCTTTAAAATAATCATACAAATTGTTGTTACAGTTTAAGGTTTTAATATGAATTAAAGTTACTTACATCCAAATAAGGTGGTTCATAAATATTTGATGAGAATTTCCTGCATAAATTGATGCTGCGTGCATTTTTTCTTATTAACAATCTCAAGGCATTCATTGTATGGCTATTTATTGTGGTTTAAGTTGAATAATCTTCAATATTTCCGATTGTTTTGAAACGTTGGTTATGTGATTTCCATTCCATGTGTATTCTGTGGTTAGTAGTTGGTTGCCTACATCATTTGAACAACTTTTAAATGGTTTCAAAGATATTTTTTGCATAATTTCGATGAATCTAAAATCATTACAATTGTAAACGAATTATTTAAGACAACAGCAATAAAGATCTAGTTGAATTTTTACCTATACATATACAGTTAATTTTTGGAAAAGGCAAATATCAAATATTCTATGAAACAAACACAAATCCTGTTTTTAAGTCTACGAAATTATTTGTCTAAACGTCACTTTATTAAACAGCAATCGGTCTACATCAGAAAATGGCCCCTCAACTAGAATCTGCTTATTTGGAGCTGGACGAAATGTTTCAAACTTTGAAGAACATTTCCCAGGCGCCAACCGGCAATAAGGAGGCGTTTGAAAAGGCTCTCATTTCACTCAATGAACAATTTCAAAAAATACTCACTCGCATCGAGGAACAGCTTCAGTCGTTAACGAGCGAAGACCAGCATGATGACTGGATCAAACTTACCGTGATGAAATGCTCTTTGATCTACGAGGAAGGTAAAATACATTTGAGTGCTGAAAAATTCACCGAAGCCAAAGAAGAAATGAAGAAGTCTTTGGCAGTGTTAATAGGCGTTGAGGCAGATCCATTCGTATGCTACCTGCACATGCGCATTGTAAATCACTTGGGATTCATCCTTAGCAAACTAGAAGATTTTGGTACTGCCAAAATATTTTTGGAGCGAATACTTGTGATTGATGTACCCGAGAATGTCGTATCTTTCACGTAATTTGCTCTTTGTTGATATTATGCTTTTACAAAGAAGATTTTATAATTCTATTTATTTCAGGACCGAAGAACTTTTTGCGATTGGAGGGATTAACAATGAAGATTCCAAATCAAAAATGCACAACATTTATATAAGTAATTTGCAAATGTTGAGCTGGGTTTACAGCAAACTTGGTCTAGAGACTGATTCTGCCAAAATGCAGCATATTATCTTAGAAAAGGAAATGGAATTTGAGGATTGTGATCCTGTAGACTGGGCAATGCGATGCACACGTGTTGCGTCATTGTATTTGGTCCGTAAGGACTTCGTTGCGTCGCGGTAAAACTATATTTAATTGCATTCGGCCAAAGTTTTCATTTTGAAACATTTAGATATTATTTATCTGCGGCTACTTCAGCGCTTGATCGAGTTGAAGGACGACTTGATGACCATCCGGATATAGGCAGGGCTCAAGCAGAATTAGCTCGCGGATGGATTTACTACGGATTAAAGTTGTTTGATGTGAGTCGTTGTGAAGATATTAATCAAATGTGTTTGAAAATATTCGATGATCCTGAACCTTTAGTATCGCAAGGTAAGGACTATACAACAATAATAGTAGTTATATATTTAAAACTTAAACATTTCATCAAGATTCAGCAATATTTTCAAGTGAAGAACCCGCTTTAGATGAAGCAATACAATTTCGTAACTCAGAAGTGATAGTTGCGAATGTCCCAGCTAAACCTATTCAGCGAATCGTCGAAGCCAGACATCTTTTCCAACACACACAGGTTTGGTTGAAACGTGCGCGTGTTTACTACACTTTGCGTGATCACCCCTACATTTACGTCAACTGCGTCTTGGACCTGAGTGAATTGTACAGGTTCCTTGCGTTTTACGAACCTGACTTGGAAGCGCAATACATTGTGCATAAAAAACGTGCCAATGCATTGGAAACACTTAGCACTGTTCTAAAAGAAGTAAGACCTCAGTGTTACGTCGCGGTGAGTGTCGATCTGCTTCGTGAGTTAGCTGAAGTTCAAATTGAACTTTTGGGGATTAATTTGAAGAAAATGTACAAACTTCAGAGTAAGTGTAGAGTTTCTAAGTTATTAAATTATGTTTTAATTAATTTATTGTGTCCCTCCAAAGATATTGCAAAGGAAAGTCCTGAAAGTGTAAAGAAGCGCATAGAAAACATTTATCAGATACATAGCAAGCTCGAAAATGTAGGTAAATTTTTACCGCATGAAATAGACGAAGAAAGTCACACGAAATTGTCGAATGTCAACGATGTACTGTCACAAGGTGATGCAATTCCCGGTTTGGGTGAAGGACAGGTAAATTGATTTCATACTACTTTCAAGCAACTAGAAGATGGCATCGCATATCGTTTGGTTGTAATAATTATTTATTAAGAACGTTAAACATACATAAGTTGCTAATACATTTTATTTTTGTGTGTTTATGCTAACTTAGTGGGTTTAACAAAAGTGCGTTTCCTCTTCATTTTCTTGCGCGTCAATTCCAGTTTGCTCAATTCGCCTTGAATCTCTGAGAATATTTCAGTTTGTTCTTCCTCTGGAATTGTTCTCATGTATTCCTTCATCAAGTCGTACTTTTCATATGGTTTCTCAAGCTGCTTTGCTCTGATAAAGAATTTCTCTGGCAGATCAATCTTTTCAATGCCTTTTATATTCATTCTTTCATATCTTGCTGACCATGGTCTGGGCTTTAGTTTTACTTTAATGGGATTGATTGGCACTGGAGTGCCTTCTGGTAAAATTTCCGCTTCCATGTTGGTATCAAAAGTACTGTATTCTGGCAGCGCATCGCGTAGATATAATAAGTTGTCGTCGAAACGTTTTTCGAGACGCAAAACTTCTATCTTTTGAATGGTCGGATCATACATATCAAACAAAATCTCAACACCTTGATGATCAATGACATTTCTTAGAGTGAAATTTGCTCTCAGGCCACAACCAGTCCTTTCAATACAGATTCCCACAAATCTGTTGTGTTTTCCTGGTGTGTGTGGATCTGAAGATGTGACTGCCATGATGGTTCCCACATAAAACTCTGGGATGTCAATGAGGGTCCTCCTTGCTAACATGTCTTCTCTTTCAAGACTTTCCCTGACAGAGTTTCTGAATGCAACATTTGGATCCGGTAAAAATTCGGGATAAATGTGACGTAATTCTACGGTGCTTTTGCGGAGTTGTTCCTGCTTAGAATTGAATTTAACACTTTCTTCAGCTTGACTTGCAAGGGATCGTATTGCTATGAAAAAATATAATTTTAATTTGATTATAAATGAAAATTGAATTATTAACTACCATTGTTGGTGATATTTATAAAGCGCGTTCTGGATCGTGTTAAATTGAGCATTTTCTCTCAAACTGAAGGATAAACCTCCAAGGATTAGAGAGAAATGTGTAGAAAACGTACAGGAAGGATGCAAAAAGCAGAATGTGTGATTTTATGATTAACTGAGGTTATACAGATCATACAAACGATAATATTTAGCAGAAGTTGTATGAAGTTCATGGTGAAACTAATTTTTTTAAAAAGAAAAATATCAATGAAATATCTAAAAAAAATTATTTTATTAAAATCGCCAAAGAATAATTTAGTACCTACCATGAATTAAATGGTATTGCTACATCTTTTAAATCTCGATGCATTTCCATTGGTTGTCGCTGCTGATGCAGAGTGATTGACCGTTGCCTTCAAGAGGTTATGTCGCTTGTTTTTGTGTGTGTTGTGTGTATTTTGTTATCAAAGTTACAAACAACTTTAGCAAACAATTTCGATGTTTCAACCGATTCTTCACTCACTATAACACCACATCATGGAAATCAACATCGAGACGGCCATACGAATACTACCAGTGAAACCGAATGGCGACATAATCTGTGTGCATCCCAACACTTGTAACAACACCATTCAGCTAGGAAACTCCCAAACATATCCAGTCAATTATGCACTGCCCCATGAATGCACCCAGAGCGGGTTGTTCAACAGCGTCGTAGCGCCATTGTTAAATTTTCTCCTCGAGGGATGTGACGTCTCTATAGTCACTACAGGACAACCACAAGCAGGAAAGTCATACACCCTAGTTGGGCCTGGTTTTAACTGTGCCTCAAGTGAATATGACTATGGAATCATTCCAAGATTCATCAGAGAACTCTTCATCAGAACTGAAAAGAACAAAGATAGAAATTTCACCACTCATATCACATGGTCTCAGATTTGTGGTGACAATGTGCAGGATTTGTTATCCTGTGGAAGTGTGGAATGCAAAACAATCAGTGATGCATTTGAATTCATTCAGTTGGGGATGACAAATATAGCACCAAAGTGTGCACACACTTTGTTTACTATTACATTGGAACAGCAGTGGGTAATGGACAATTTGATTCAGCACAGGGTGTCAACAGCAAGTTTTGCAGACTTGGCAAGTAGTGAGAAGATACTTGTGTTTGACAATGTTGGAGCTCCACAGAGTATTCCATCAGATTCAGGTTTGTTAGCACTGCAGAAGTGTATTATTGCTCTCACCACACCCAGTCAGTACCCAATTCAGGTGCCATATAATGAATCAGTTTTGACTACTCTACTAAAGGACTCATTTGGTGGACGCGCAAAAACTTTATTAATTGGTTGCATTTCTCCTTATTTGAAAGATTTGCCTGAGACTTTCTATACCCTACAATTAGCTACTAGGGTACAAATGATTAAAAACTTAGTCACTATTAACTCATACACAAGCAATGATACTGTACAAGAGCAATTCGACGTGTTTGGTTTACAATTTGCTGCGAATCAGTTGTTTAAACTGGTTGTGAACGCTGAAGAATTGTTTCAAAAGCTCATTATACAAAATTGCCTTTCACAAGCGGACATGGAGCAGATCTCACAATGGCTAATGCTTAAACAAGAGTGTGAAGAATGCTTGAGTGATACTAGCGAACCAAGGAGATCTTTGGAGCGTATTGAAGAAGAAGGTGAGGCTGAAGATAGTATCGAAGCATCTGAAGGTGAAGACGAAGAAGAGGAAAGTGACAGCGCTGATGAAGCAGAGAATGTTCAGTATAAATTACAAGCGTATTTGAGCACGTTTCGCATGAATACTGAGAAATTAATTGCGAAGACAATCATTGGTAATGTTCTTCCAAGCGCGACCAAAGAAAGCGCTACAAGTTCAACGAACAGTTATCACGAGAAAGGTGCGCGCGGTAGGCGTAATAGCATACATTCGGTGGAATTGGCGAATAATCAGATTACAGTCCCACCGAAAATCGCTGAAGATGAAAGTGTCGGAGCTACTATCGCCGAAGTCGACAACGACTCAATTGAAACTAAGCAGAAACACCTTAGGCAGATTCAAGTGGAAATCCAGGGCTGCCAGAAACAAATCAACGAATTAGAGCACACCATCACCATGAAGGAGAAGTTAAAAGCGCAGTTGCATAAGCATCGAAGTATCAAAACACACGCGAGGGATAAAATGAAACAAAAGTTGGAAGGTCTGAAACATCAGCATCAAAAACTGCAGACGAGATTATTGGCGGTAACTGGGAATGATGCCGAAGAGAAAGAATGTCGCGCAGAGTTGTCGGACATTGAACAAAAGATTTGTGATATTGATTCTATAAGGAATATAACTGAAGATAGCACATGGAGAGTGTCCGAATTGGAGAATAGTCTACACACTTCTCGGAAACAACTTGAAAAGTTAAAGAAAACGAAGCGAAAAGAAGAAAAGAAACGATTAATACTCGAAAATGAGTTGAAATCGATGCCGCGACGTCCAGCGAGTAACGAAAACTGTCTGGTGACTTCAAACAACTGGCTGGAAGTCCGCGGGGATATTACTACACCCGTTGATGATCTGGAAGCTCTTCGTCATGAGATACGAAATTTAAGACGCACAAGAGAACTACTCATTGAACAACGATGTAAGTTTGATGGTAAATCAAGTGTGAGGAGTATTATCAACGAAATTGAGGAGCGTAAAATGATCCAGTACGAAGAGGCGATTGAAGCGATCGATTTAGCAATTGAATATAAGAATGAATTAATGTGTGGGCACGAGTTGGTCATTGCAACCAGTCATGAAATGACCGACAAAGTTCTTTTGGAACGTCTCATGAAACTCAAAGATCACGAGATGCGCGTGCTTCTTCATAAGTATTTTGACAAAGTTGTAGATTTAAGATACAGTAGTAAGAAGTTAGAGGTGCAGATGATGAATACTGAATGTCAGAATGAGAATTATCTCACGAGGATTCAGAATCTCAGCCATACGTTGCAACAAGTTCGTTTAGACTCAGAAAAACGTATCATAGCAATGCAGCAACAACACGAAGATAAACTAAGTGTTGTTATGCGACATATCGCCAATGATGACGGTGGTAGTCGAGTGGTTTCCAGGGTGTTGGGTCAGTCGAAAACTGCGGCTGCTGCGCTTTCGATGCAAGTTGCAGGGGCGACGAGTAAACACGGAGACAAGGGCAGTTTTATTGCTAGATTTTCAAGAATTGCTACAGCTAGTAGGCATGACGCACTGTCTAGACATTTGTTGGCTACTTCTGCTCCCAAACAAGCGATTGTTGATCGGCAAAAGAATAAGATTATTATTACTCAAGCGAAAAAGTGATTGATTTTTAGATTTTAATCGAATTTAACTCATTCTGTAAATAATCTAGCGAGTAATCATAACCATTGTATTTAAAACAAATATTAAACCCATATATCAACAATATTAATTGTTTCTTTTTATTAGTTGAACTAATGATTCGTGGTTTTAAAGATATGGGAGTGTCGTATATTTTGTTGTAATCTAAATGTTATCTTCTTAACAATTTGAAGTGCATTTAGGACTCGAACTATTAGCACCTTTATAAACCAGACGAAACCGGTTTGCTTGGTTTTGTTAATATCTTGAAATTTAAAACAAAATTGGTTTTTATCGCTTTGTGTGTATGCGATTTGATATTTAGGAATAGGCGTTGTTTTATTACGTAAAAGAGTAAATTTGTGTTTGTATGCGAAGTTAAATGTGTATAGTTTTTGTTTTGTTTGTGTATGATATGTTTCAGTTTAAACTTTTACTATAAATTTATTTAACAAAAGGACGCAAACTTTTAAATTTGACAGAAGTTCAATCCGCGCTCGATAGTAGTGGTGGTTGTGGTGGCGTTCAGTTCAGTTGTGTTCGAGATTACTAACAAGATGCTGCCGCTGCTGCTACATAACCAAACGGAAAAGTGTTTTCATCGGTGTTTTCAGTGATTTCGGCAGCAATTTATTGAGGTAAATTGTGTTATTCTTATACCAATACTATCTGCTTTATTAGTGCAGTAGGTTAAAGTTGTTTAAACCATTCACGGCGGTGAAGAAAACGCCTCAAACTCTTTGTGTTTGTGCTGATGCCCAACGCCATTTGTAAAATTATTTCACCTAGAAAATGAATATGAAATTGATTGTTTTGGTAATCTATACACGGACAAAACAGCAGAATATTCGGTAGTTTGCTGATGTAATAACGAATAAAATTGTAAGTTTTATCGTTTATTCTGTTCTGACAAAAAGTGTGATGCATTATTTATCTCTAGAGATGCATCTGTCTACTATGCTAGGATTAGCATTAGTGCAGATCATTGAACTCAAGCCAATTCAGATAAAATATGTACATTATTGCAATTTTGCTTGTTTATTGATTGTAAGGGTATTTTTGTTGGATGATATGGCAATCATATGATTTGTTTTAGTGTTTATTATGAAAACAGGCAATGAAAATGTGGCAAGTACATCAGAAAATTTACACAAGGTTCTCATTGATCCTACAATACCTATTGAGGATCTGTTGGGTTCTGTTACAACATACAATAATGTTGAAGGATCTGAGAGTTTCCAGCTCCGGACAAGTGCTAGGGTGTTCAAGAAAATGAAACTTGATTCAGCTTTAGCAGCACTGCCAGAAAAGAAAGGTATATAATAATTTAACTTAACATTATTTTAATTTCTATATTAATCTATATATAAATAATATAATTATAGAACCAGAAAAGAAAGAGGAAACAAAATCTGAAGTAAAGAAACCATTTCAAAAGCCATTTTGGACAGCTGAAGATAAAAATTATTTCTTTGAAGCATTGAATGAATATGGTAAAGATTTTGAAGCGATTCACACGTACATAAACACCAAACTTCGTAAAAGGGAACGCCCGACACAGCTTTAAAGACTCGGGAACAAATCCGACACTTGTATTATAGAACCTGGCATAAAATCTCAAAACATTTAAAATTCTCCGAGGACGTGAAAAAAGTTGTACAAGAACTGTACGGGCTTATAAACTATGGTGAACTGCGGAAGAAAATGACTTCAGTCAGTGAGAAAACCTGCATCAAACTTAATGAACTTATTTATAGAGGAACTCTATCGACAAGAGTAAAAGGACGTACTATACGGATTAGAACTCCAATGTGTAAAGCGTTGAGAAGACTGAACAGATTAGAAGGTAATAAAACAAAATTGTCTTATTAATAAGTTTATTATTTTATTTATTTGTATTTTCATAGAAAACGACAATGATATTAAACTACCGACAAGAGTATTAGTTGAATGTATGCCAAAAGATATGTATACGTGGATGAAGGTGCAAGAAATGTCGCAAAACCCGCGCATCCGAATCCTGGTGCCACTTCAGCGACGTCTTAATTCGTTGATATACTATTTATCGCAAAGGTGGAAGAACAACGAGGTTTTGGAACATGAAAAGTTGTTAACTGAAATTGAATCCAATTCTATTCAGGCGAATGAAGAAGTTCTATTTACTGGCAAAATAGAACCACGTTATGAACCACCGTTGAGATTAGCTCCAGCGAAAGAAGTACCAGTTGTGCTTCCTAGTTTTAACATCACAGAGTTCTTCACAACGCAGAGTATTTGTTTGAATGCGTATGAAGTGCGAATTGGTGCAAAACAATCGGGGGAAACTCGGTGGTTGGAAGCATTTCCCAATTTCAAACAGATGATTAAGACAGGTATTAATAAACGAGGCACAAAACGAACAAGAACTGAAAGTAACAGCGAGAAAAGTGCTTCGCCACCAAATAATGCCCGGCCAGGTTCCGCTGCTTTTGTAGATAGTAACGAGAACTGCGTAGGAGAGACAGACAACATTAATAAAGTGGACGAGTGTGTTGATGAAGCTGTGAACACGATTTTATCGTTACAGCATCAGGAAACACCTGAAGTAGTTGATTCCATGTTGCTTGATTCGAAAGATGATTTAAATGATGATGATTGCATGATTATGGTTAAAAAAGAACATGATATTGCTAATATTAGATTGGGTTGGACACTTCCCGACTGCGGAACTTTAACAGTTGGAGATTTATATTTAATGGTAAGATTTAATCTGTAAATATTTTGCGTTTACTTCAATCTTTATTTTCTTCAATAGTTTGGAACAAACTCCAAAATTCAGCTTGAGTATAGTTGGGATGAAGGTGGCTGTACTTCTGCTATTAAAAAAGAAGAAATTACAAATCCAGAGGAAGTTGATGTAAAAATCGAGAATGAATCGCTAAATGAAGAAAATAAACCAAGTGTGATATCGGACTCAAGCCGCCCGAATGTAACATCATCGTTAAAACAATTGCTTTCAGTGGCAAAACTGCATTACAGAAAAAATATGGTAAAATGTCCTTGCGGACATGTTTGCGGTTCTCCGAATAAGAGCCAATCAAAGGCGAAAATTGTTCACAAACCTTCTAAAACCACATGCAATGACAATAAGAATTCTCTGGATATGCAAACGGTATGGCTTCTTTTTCAACAACTAAATATTTTTCTATTGATGATGGTTGTTTTGGTTTCAGTCAAGTACAATGGTGACAGTACTGCAACAAAGCAACATCACAACCACTGCCAGCATGGTGCCAATTTTAATACAACCAGAAATCAAGAAATTCTCACCACAATCGTTGTTTCGACGGCCGAACTCTCCAAATTGTGGTTTGCGCGCACAAATAAACGTAAGTTGTATTAAAAAATTTATATCTTTATAATTATATATGGTATTATCTTTTGAATAGTCTATACAAAGAATGATGCCTCGCTATTGCAATCGAAAAGGCAGGCCCCGAACGAAGCAAGTAGTCGTCGAACGCAGATTGCCCCTCTTGGCAAACAAAGCAGACAGTGGTCGTATCGTTCAAATGAATATAATCTCAAAAGACGTAGCTGTAAGCCAACCGCGACCTATTGCCGCTCGGCAACTTCCCGCAGAAACCTCAAATCATGATCAAATTTCGACCAACAGCACCGCGACTTTTTCTACTGTCGACATATCTTCGCCGGAAGTTAGATCAACACAAGTTTCTAACACATTGCAAGTGGTTCAATCGGACCAATCTCAGATTCACATAGAATCACAATCGGATAATGGTGGTATTAATAATGATCTTCTTGATAACGCCACAACGTTGAGCAGAGTTAGTTCCCCGACTAGCATTTCCAATCTGCTAGATATGGCCCTGGAAAATACTGACGGTAATGTTGATAGGCAACGGGGAGATGGTATTACGAATTTTGTGGGGTTGTTGTCCGACCGGGTGGACACGCCATCTTGCAGTCCATCCAGGCTTCTCAAAGAGAATGACAATCAGTGGATTAATGCAGAAGTGCAAGATTTTTCATTCAGCAGCTTTTTGGGGCATCTAGATTCATCGCCAGTGAAGACTACTAGTGTGAATAATATCGTAAATTCGGAAGATACTCGGATGAGTTTAAGTTTAACTCATGATGTAAGAATTGTGTATTGTTTTAATATTCCAGCGCTAATTGATTTTATTTTTTGCATAGGTGGATGCTCATTTGCAATCACTGATGACCGAGAGCAGTATGGACTTTTCGCATAATTTTGCTGATCTAGCAGCACTCGCAGATTGCAAAAAGTAGTGCTCGTACGTGCGGGATTATGATTAAAAGGTATAACATATTGCCGAGTGCTATTCGACGTTAGTTGCTATTTCAGATAATGAAGTTTATTAAGAAAAAAAAAAGAATATATGTATAAAGCAGTATAAAAAAGACTTGTGATGAATTTTGTGTCGGCTAGACGTATTTTACGCGAAAAGGTAGTTCTTGGGTTATACGCTTTATACGCTTAACAAAATGGCGACACCAGCTAATACCCATTTTGCCGGGCGTTCCTTACTCTTTAAGTTGAACGTCCAGACAAACGTAGGTCCCCTGATTCGCGTTTTGTACACGGGACAGTCATACATGTTTCTCAAGTCTTGTTTATCTTGGGTTATAGCACGCAGGTACACCACGGGCATAACCGGAAATAGATCCTTTAAGATGGAGTCCGCGATGCTGCTTATTGTTGAGTCCCAACGTGCGCCTTCCATGAACAGACCGTGGACGTTGGCCCCTTCGCGCGGTGCCGTGACGATATCCTCACGCTGTTTTCGCGTGACGTCGGTGAGTAGACACATTTTGTCTAGTGGCCATTCATTTTTACGCGCTGTTTGCTGCATGATTGCCGTTAGGAATGACTGCGGGTTAAAAAGACCTCCTAACCACACGGCGAGAGGCATTGCAAAGTCGGTAGTCCAACTTTCCAACTCTTTGATGCGCTGTGTTAAGTCACTGAACCATTGCCCCAAAGGTAGTAAACTAGGATAGGCCTTAACTGCCCATTGATCAGGGACGTTGTCCATGTAAAGTTGTTCTTCTAAATTTTCCATATCTGGCGTAATGGTGAGTTCACCCTTCATGCCTAGATCTAACTCTTTAAGAGAGTTTTTCATCACAGTCGTTAACATATTCATGCGGTCACATTCTTGGAAGCAGACAATTACGTAGGGAGTTTTGTTTTCTACCTTTGCCATCATATCCCGGATGTTGAATAATTCCGGCAATTTATCGAAAATGTCATCTAAAGTGCTTCTAACTTTTTCTTCGCGAGACATTCCACCCGCTGCTCCTGCACCCAAATCACGAGGTTGCATTTCGAAAATAGTCTTGAACATTATTTCAGAAATGTTTGTAAGAAAACCAATTTCTGCATTGGGATGTAATCCATAAAGGTAGGGAGATTCTGTGGGTAAATTCTCATCTATGTATTTATGGTACCCTACATAATCACGATTATTGGGTGCTTGGAAGTTTGGAGCATAGAAAAGGTCTCCTTCGAGTAGAAGGGGTTGCATATACTCAAGTAGATAATATTTACATAACCTTCGGTCCCAATCATCAGTGATGTGTCCCCCGTACATAATTTCTCCAAAGAGATATCTTAAATCTTCCCAGGGTACCTTATTGTTGTTTTCCAAGTAGTTGTATAGTACATTTACACTAATAGTCAGGTCACCAATGTTAAACGGATAGTTCCTGTTCCATCCTTGAGCTCCAAACTTTCGTCTTTCTGCGACAACGGCATGGAAATAGCAAAGCGAAAACAAAATTGCTTTGAATTCAGATTCCTTCGAGCACATTTCCAAAGTCTCCTGGGAAAAGTTATCCAATGCTTTGTGTAAGTTTGCGTACATCCCTGTCGGTGGTTCATTGGTGATCTTAATGGAAGACTCTAGAATCCCTTGTGGCAATACATTACTCATGGGATCTCCGGCTGCTTCCGCACTCAAGTATAAACGATAGTTCTCGTGTGAGTTCTCATTGGTTTGCTCCATTTTCTTTTCCAATTGTGGCAACCATCTCGCCACCAAATGGATATTCTGTAGAATTACCCAGTGTCCTTCCTCCGCAGCTATATCCATCGCATTCTCGGCAACTATTTCCTGTCCTTGTCCCAAGGATACACTATGGAAGTTACCTCTGTCGAAGGTGAACCCAAGTTTTTTCCCTAGCTTTTCCACATCTTTCAAAGGATTAACACCCGGTGATAGAATAAAGAATGTTGGTGTTGAATTACTTGTTTCTTCATAAGACTTTTCGAAGGGAACCGTTCTGGCGGTGATGAATTTTGAACCTAGCCCTTCTTCAATGAAACCCGTAACAGCGTATGTCATACGATCAGGTCTTAAACATCTCAAGATACAAAGACGCTGCAAGTGTGTCTTGTTTTTCCATTCTCCTGGATACTTTTCTTTTTCGGGACATTCACTTTCTACAAACTTCTTCCATCTTTTGGCAGAACCCTCCATGTCTTTATCGAGTCCCCTAAACTCGTCCATAGCCGACAATGCTTTGATTCCACCCCATAGTACATGCGAAAGAAAATCAAAAGGAGATATCATTCCTGTCATTATAGGAAATCTGAGCAAAAAATCCAACTCCACAGGACCAATTTCTTCATTGTAAAGCATGATTTGGAAAGTCATCTGTGCCAGGAAGATCAACTTATCACATTCAAATAATCCACGGCTTGTATACATAAATACGCAAAACGTAATACTATCCAGGAGGTTGTTGACACGGTCCTTGAGTTTTTCACTCGGTTCGGCTACACCCAGAGAGTATTTAAATACCACCGTGAAAGATTTAAGGGAAAATTGGTAGATTGCATTAATTCGGCATAGATCATTCAAAATGAAATATAAAAGTGATGCTCTTGTCGACGCTGGTCTGTATTGTTCTCTTGCTTCGTCAATTTTAACAGAAGCAATTTTTGCTTCCGCTGCTTTGGTCTGAATGTCAGCAGCAGTGCGTTTTGTGGTTTCCAAATTTGTTACCAGGGCGACATCACCCAGTATATTTCCTGTTGCGGAAGACAATCTTTCCAATAAATTATCCTCGCAGGTTTTAAGGGTGATTTTAAAGTCGTTCTGTTGTTTTGTTAAACTTGATTTTAACGTTTCTAAATCGGGACATTCACTTTTGACCACTTCGGCTAACAGTTGATCTTCAAGACCGTCTCTGGTGACTGTAAAGTTAATCAAAGTGGTCTGTGCTTGAATTTCCGGCTTGTAATGTGGATTTGCAAGTTTTGTGTGTATAATCAACCGGAATTTATGATCATAGTCGATTTCTTTGTCGCCTACTTTTATAGCTTTTCCCTTTTTTATGAGAATTCGTCCCAGAATTGGATCCAACACGGCATCCATGGTCTCCCCAATATTTTCTAGTAATATCACATTACCATTTGTTATGCATCTTTCTATAGTGTCCAAATAATTTTTCATAGAGAGACGAAGCACTGTTAAATGTTCTCCATAACGATTTTTAATCCATTTTATTCCTTGCAATTGGGGGTCAATCATCAGCGGCCATCTTGCTGTGTTTGACAAAATGGTCGCATTCTCAGCTGACATTTGATCTGTGGGCAAACCTTCGTTATTCCACTTGGCAATTGTTGCATCATCTGTTAACAGTCCGAGTGGGTCCATTCCTTCAGACATAGGAATCGGTGGCGTCATTTTATTCAGAAAAGGAAGCCAGTGTGTATTAACTAAATCTGTTCTGTAACGTTTGGTAAAACATCCGACGTATGATATGAACGCAGTGATGAGTAGAATATCTCCAGGTAAAGTTCCAATTTGCGCGTTGAAATTTTCTACAGATTCCTTCCAGCGTACCTTTTCAGAAGCTAAACCGCCAATTAAACGTTTAGCTAAATCTATCATCGTAGCTGTTGCGTCAGCTTGCGCTTGGCATTTTAACTTCTCATCAGTGGCTTCTTCAAAATCACTGCGTAACACTGACAATTGTTTCTCCAAAGCTTGAAGTTTGTCGTTTAACTCTTTCAATTTCTGTCTGGCATTGTTCAAATCTGTGGTTGCTTTAGCAAGTGCTTTTCGTTTAGGCTCCACTACTAAGAAGACATCGTAGAATTTAATGATGTTTATCACCCAGGCGCAGAGACCTGCAGCAGCAGATGATTTCGTTATAATCTTTTTGGGCTCAAAGTCAGGATCTTTGATGTATGGCATCACTTGCTTTACGACATCAGCTGGAATATTTTCCTTGTCGTAATTCACCAGGTCACTTAGAAACTGATCCACTTTTCCCATCATTAATTTACAATTCTTCCAACTTCTATCTTTTGGGACTTTACCTTTTGGTGAAAAAAGTACCAATACAGCAGCGCAAACATTTACGACCGCATCTGGTGGACTTCCGAAAGATTTCAATTCTGTAAGATTATTTTTATTCAATGTGTTCAACGCCTCGGCGGCGGCTTTAAGTGCAGGTTCTGCTTTGGATAAATCCTCCGCACAAATTTTTGCTTTCACAGCGACATCCTCTTCGATAATCTTTACTTTGGCTTCTTCTTCGCTTGCAACGGTTTGTTCACGCGCAACTTTTTCATTTTCTGCGCCCAATACTTTAATTAATTTATCGGCGGCTTCATTCTTTTCGGCTAGTTCAATTTCTTGCACGGCCAACACTTCTTGCAGGCCATCTACCTCTTCAGATGTAGAGGCTAACTTCAATAGTCCATTTTCTAAGCGAATGATGTTATGCTTTAATCCAACCGTTTTCTCAGTTAATAACTTGGAGTATAAAGAAATTTGTTCCAAAAATGTTTTTGGTGTCGTGTAATTGTATCTTTTTTCATACAAAAGATACCTTTGCGAGATTTCATTTACAATTGAGTGTACAAAACTCATAAATTGCGAAGCATTGTTAACGTATTCTGGAGGTAAAGTATGAATTTCAGCCAGGAACCGTTTTGACACATTGAGCAAAGCTTCCTTTGGCCATTCATGGAACCAGTCAATTGATGTGCAGTTAACTACGGCTGGAAACTTTCTTCCGCGAATTCTGAGAGTAGAGCCAACAGGTGAAAAGCAAAGCACGATTTTAATAAGTCGCCGTGTTTTGTTAATGAAAAATTTCCAACAATTTTCACGGGTGTCTTGCAGACCAATTGCTTTTACCTCACCTTTAACCACATTTATAATATTTTCCGTGTCTTCATCGGAGAGTAAGTCAGGAATTTCTCCGGATGCTAACATATCATTGATGACCACCAAAAAGTTCTCTTCCGGAACTTGCGAATCTGTCATTAGGAAAGTTGAACTTACATTCTTCATTCCTGCTTTAATATAAATAGTAGAAATGTCCGCTTTCATGTCAGTAACGGTATACCCCTTTCTAAGCTGTATTTGAAATACGTCCAATGATGCTATGAAAGATGCCAATCTTGTCAGAGATTGTTTGCCGGAACCACCCACACCTATAAGTAGGGCGTTGCCTCTAGGGGCTTCTAAGATGCGGTTAATTCTACAAATATGATTCATGGCGTCTTCGAACAATACCAAGTTCATAGCAGAAACGAGATCATTGTATCCTGCTAACGCATCTAATAGTAGTTTGTTCAGGTGCGTGAATTCACGAATTTGAAGGTATTTTGGATCACCCATGCCTTCTGCGAAGTGGCAGAATATTAACGGCTTCTCCATGACTGCATTCTCGTCGATTTCTTCAAACGATTTCTTGACAATTTCATTTAGGGTTTTGTCAAAAGTATCGATATCAGCACTTTCGGCCATTTTATCTCCGTAAACACGAATTGATTCGTGCATCCAAAGTCGAATAAAGTCAGTTGCGTTTCTGCATCCTTCTGCTGATGCAAAAAGTATACCTTGGAAGACGTTGGAGAGGTCACGTAAATTGAAAATATAGTGGAACTTTACCGCTGTTGGCAAAAAGGTTTGGGATACTTTTTGTTGGAAATTTACAGCTGCTTGTACAACAACAGGGCACAATTTCTTCACGCTGTTGTGGAAATTTGATGCTTCTAGATGTTGAGACAGAATAGAGTAGTATATTGTGTAGAGGGCTTCAGCGGCAGGAAAACTCAATGCAAACACACAAAAATGACGCTGTAATCTTGGGTCGATTGTGAAAGAACCTGCCGTTGGGTTCATACAGGTGACATATTGAACATTATGAATATCTTTTAGCGACAACTTCTGACGATCGTACCAATGTTGATAGTCAATATGTTGCCTTAACAAGGTATGAGGTTGCACCGTGAAATACTTATCTACTTCCGGCATGTTTAAATCATCAATAAAATAAATCATTTGTTTGGTTCCCGGTGGTCCGTATACTCTACCAGCTTTCTTCTCGAGAGGTTTCTCTAAGATTTTCTGTAACATTTCTGATGAGGTGTAGAAATTAAATGGTACATTCTGTACTTGGTATGCGTCTGATAAACTATCCAATTTTTCCTGTACTAAAACAGTTTTTCCACAACCAGCATTTCCAACTAACATACATGGTACCCTCTTGGCCATGAGATGATCCAGGAAAAATCTAACCCTCGTGGTTTCGGCCGTGTTTACCATAGTCGCTTGTAATGGAATGTCAGAATCTAGTTCAAAACTACTGATTATATCAGACCACGGCAAAAATTTCTTAGTTTCTTCGTCGATATAATAGTGGAAAACAGTTCCAGCACCTGGGAATCTTACCGCTTTAAATTCGTTAACAAACCATTTGCTAAATTCATTTCTCCAATCAACAATTTGGTCTTGGAAAAGTGACGAACCAAATGCCCAGACTACACTGAATACAAAGTATATTTCATACCATTCTTTTGGGCAATCTGGTGGGACATTTTGTGGTGTTAGGAAGCAATCTAGAAGGTTGCATAACATGGAAATGTGAGCGACGTCTACCAAAGGAGTGATTTTCTTCACTTTTGTTCTGACAATTTCCAAACAAGGTGGTATATATTTATCGAAGAGCAGACCAAGTAAAGCTTTCTCGCTTTGAATGGTTCTAGTATCAATCCAGGAAGCTACAAAGGGATTCCATCCTAAATCTTTTGGGTTGATATAGAGGATACCTGCGCGGGAGACTGTTGCAGGTGTGGCTGTTCTCAAGTTTGCAATTTCAAACAACAGACGCATGTATGTTGTTAAAGCAATACGTTCGTTACTTGCCAGGGTTAACACTTTATTATCATCCATCAGAGTATTTAGTGATTCAATCCACATGGGATCGATATCACCATCTAAAACTATCCATTTAGGTCCATCGCCTGTCATGTTGGCTTGTTCTCGCATTATTACTGAAAATAAGCCATCTCTCCATTCCCTGGTTGAAGGGTTGATAATCCCAAAAAGTTCGTCATTGGTCACAGCTTTTGGGTTTAAATCATTGTATACAGGGCGTCGTTTTTGGTTTTGATATGTTTTGTTTAACGTTTTCCACACCATTGATTTTCCTGTACCTGCAAACCCAATGACAAACACAGAATGTCTTACTGCAAACAATTCTTCGAGCTGCACTACTTTCAGCACGAATCCATCTTCGGGTTGCAATTTTAGATCAACCGCCGATTTTTTGACCATTTTTTCAAACTCTGGGAGACGTTTTCTTGGTACATCTAATGATGGGAAGAGATCTCCGATTAATCCCATAAAAATATCTACGTCGTCTGTGATAATCTTTGGTATATTAAAATCCCGCAAGGCTCTCATCAGCACTTGGTCTTCAGGGCGTTGACGGTCGCCTCTTTTCAAGGCCCCGGCAACAACCAATACAGATTTAATAGCTCTCAGACCCCAATCATAATGATCTTGTTTACTGAGCAATTCTCTGCATAAACTATACAAAGTGATGAATTTCCTCGCCAAGAGACGTGCTTCCTGAAAGCCTTCCGCTACCAACATGATTTCGCAAATCAGTTCAAAATCTGGGACTACCATGGCACATGGTCTAAATAATGCTTTTAAATTTTCCGGTAACTCGGTACGTCCGGCATATCCAGGATTCATCGTGATAAAGATCCCGACCGTATTGATAAGAACTATATCTTCACCCAGGAATTTAAATTTAGTTTTTCTGTCTTTGATGGCATCCTGGATTGTTTTTACTTGTACGGCGACTACAGACAATACTTCTACAGATATTCGATTGAATTCATCAAAGCATCCCCAGGTACCAGTCTGCGAAAGACCTTTGTAGATGTTACCAACTGATTTATAATCCATTTGTTCGGAGCAATTGAATACATAAACCATTATTCCTAAGGCTTTGCCCAAATCTTTAGTAGTTTCTGTTTTGCCAGTACCTGCAGGTCCTGCTGGTGCCCCACCCATAATCAAATGCAGACTCTGTGTTAGAGTAATATAACAACGATCAGTTAATGGTGTGATTACCAGACGTGGTGTATTTCCTAAATATTCATACTGATATCTAAACTGCGCATCGCAAATATTTGCGTAGCAATCTTTTAATTTTAAGTCCCATCTATGACGAAGTTGGCTTTGCCATTGGAAAGCTTGCGCGTTTTCTATTTTTAATAGGATCATTTTAGCAACCACGTCTCGAGAGTGCACGTCAATCGTACAGATTGTCATAATTTTCTGCCGATCTCCGGCTGTTAAATCACCCAGTAAGTGAAGAATAAGTGCGTTTAACTGGTTAATTTGTTTCTTGTTATAATCTTTCAATGCGTTCTCGTATCCTTCTTCAAGTTTCGCCAAGGCAACATTAGTTTCGGTAGTCCACCAAATTTGGGTACCGATTAATGCTGGTTGGGCTGGAAAATCGAAGATCCATTGGTCTCTGGGTTTATCTTCATAGGTGACCACAGCTTCACCGAATAAATTATGAAGGGTTTTGCGCATTATGTCAATTAGCTTGTTTAACCAGACTTCTACTTTGCCCACACATTCAAGGTGGCCTGAAAAGTTAACATGTTCATCATTTTCTTTCGATATCATTTGACTTGCAACTTTTGGCGCTTCCCATTTTAATTTGGCCATTGAGTCAAACAACTTTGTCAAGTGACGTTGGACCAGTTCAGGTTGATTACCCGTGCTTAAAATATCCAGTAAATCAGCAGACGAGACAAAATAAAATCTTGGGAACGCTAAACGTTTTGTTTCTAAGTAGTCGTTCAGCGCTTTCTCGCAGATCATCAAATCAGCTTGAATGCCTTCCAAGCGTTCATATAAACCAGGTTTATTTGTTGATTTGATCACATTTGGTGTTCTAAGCACTTCACTTAGAACCTCCTTAAATTCTTTGTCGATTCTATCAAAGCGACGAGAATCTTCTGGTAACTGATTTCGTATATCTTCAGAACCGATGAAGATACTTTCCAAGTATCCCCACTTTCTTTGTACTTCCAGAAAAACTGATATAACTTGGTCAGCATTTGATAGCTTTTTTTGCCAATCAGATACTTCATCTAAGAAAAAGTCAATGAATTTAGACGTGAGCATATTTTGTAACTGAACTTGATGATCTTCCAACGTTTCTATGAGTTCTTCAGATACCAATAATAGTTTAATGCCGGTACGCATATGTGGTTCCGTTTCGAACTCCATATTAGCCCAAGTGGCATTTAATTCCTTTAGAACTTTTTCCATTGCCATTTCCTTGACAGATTTGTCTACTATGGTCTTAACTTCTTCTTCGTATTCGTGCAGATTAAGCGCCAATAAATCATTGAGCGTGGTATTCGCATCCATAACAAATTTGACCTTTGTCGCTTGCATCAATTGCTGCCAATGTCTTTCGCGAATAGCAGGATTCTGTAATTCTGTAACAGCTCTCAGGGATGTCAATAGGTTCTTGATGGTAGCTTCCATTTTTATGTAAAGATCCCAACTACGTAATTCCTTGTCCATTGCGCGTAAATCTTTTCCAAACTTTTTGCACTCCATATCCATTGCTTCTACGTCAATTTTTTTCCATGGTGTATATTTCCATTCATCTATCCAGGATCTACACATGAGGACATAGTCCCATAGAACTTTTACCATTTTAAGCTCAGTGCGCACCAACTTCACATGTTTGAATTCTGGAATTTGCAATTCAAACAAATTTCCTTGCTCAATTAACTTCGCCATATTTTCTTCTAAGTCCATAGTGCTTTCATTGAATTGATCCAATTTCTTGTAAACATCTGTACAGTTGTAGAAAAACAGTGCAGATTTCTTAAATTTAGCCTGAAATATAGTCTGGCGGATATCAAACAATTGCAGGCGCTTCTTAATAGCGTTGACTTGATTAGCTTGTAGGGGTGCAATCGCTTGTTTAGTAGCCAACGCAATTTTCTTACAATTTGTCCACTTTTCAGGCAACTCCTGAAGCCGAATTAAAATGTCATCGGTGAAATTAACATCATATGTTGCTAGTAAATTGATAATCTCTTGCAACGGATCAAACATGTTATCAGTGGCAAATTGTCTATCGCGGATCTTAGACAAGCACCCCATAACCTTAATCAATCCATCGAAATCATCTTCTCCTAAAGGCGCTTGCATTAGTTCAATAGAATCTGTAATAAATTCTTCCAACTCTTGAATGCTATTCACTACTTGATCATACAGATTTTGTTTAAACATATTGGACCACTTTTTCGAAATGTTTAGCATTGCTTGCCTCAATGGTGCAATATCAACTAAAAGCCAGCCGTTGATGATTTTTTCTTTGGGAATGATTTCAATTTTGTTATAAATCTTTTCATAGTTATCAATTTGTTCTTTGAATTGCTCTAAAGTTGGTGGGGTTTCTTTAATTCCGGGACCATTAACATCCTTTAACATGATTGTCTCTTCCGGAGTTAAAAGTCTGCCATATTTGATAAACTGAGCCATAAATTCCTTTCTGTTATCCATCCACAGATATTCATAGTCTTCAAATTCTTCCATATACTTGACACATTCTGCGGTGGCGATGTAGACGCGCGACATTAGATCTGTATTAACATCGACACATCCTGGATCTGTTATAATATCTGTGAGAAAATGTTTTCCTTTTGCTGGTATTATTTCTGGCATTTGATCGGCCATTTGAAATATATCATTTAAAAGTCCACTGATAAAGTTTGCAAAGTTAAATTCTGCCTCACTGTCAATTGAAGGGTTTGCTACAATCATGATATCGTGTAATTCAAAAGTAATTAAAAATAAGGGATGTTCAATCTTTTCATCCATTTCGACTACGAAAAAGTTTAAGCTGTACATAACACCATCCATGAGAGATGATAAAACGGTATCATCGATGTATGTCAAATAAGTAACCCATTTGCTATCATTATAGGATTCTTGGTATACTGGATCTTCTATTACTTCCACTTCAATTGCAGATATTTGCGTAGATATGGCTTTGACTTGGAGAGCTTCCGACGGTGTATTTATCGGCTCATCATTTTCTGATTCTTCAATGATCTCTTCAATTGTATCTTCAGGTTGATTTTCTTCTGGTATCATCATGTTAAAAAAGAGATAATAATTGATTCTAAGTAGATTCAACAATGTTTTTCCACATCTCATGATTGCCCTGTATCGTTTTGCTGTTCTCTCTTCATGATTATCCAAATAAATAAGCTCGGCGCTGTCTTGATGCTTTCTCTGGAACAGGTGCTGAGAATTGATCAGATCTAGCTCCTCTTGGAATGTACTGATATTCTTTTGTGCACGATCTACACGTAAATATAGATGATGAAGAAGGTTGTGAAATACATCGATTTGCTCCAAATCTGAAAATTATATTAGAATTTAATTTTTAGAATGTTTCGCAATTTAGAATTTCTATTACGGTTCTCCTCCCAAGTCAGAGTCGTGATTGCTGCCTCCATAAGTTCATTAATATTAGTAATCTCATCCACAATCATGTTATATTCTACATCCAAAGTAGCAGTCACAATATGATTGTACCATTCGATGCTCCTGGCTAAATTTTGTCTGATAGCCCAGATTTCATCGGCCCTTGCAAAGAATTCTTCAGCTGCTGGTGGTACAATAAAAGTTTCCAGTAGCAATATATAGCGAACTTCTCTTAGAACCGCATCCAACTCCGGAGCAAAGTTCATTTCGAGTAAATTTTTGTCATTTCGAATAAGAAGCGTTTTTACAATATGTTTTGCTATAATTCCTGGCGCTTCTTTGAACCAAGTCTGGAATGTCACTTGCTGGTCCTTATGAAGTATGTCCATCATTTGTTCATATTTTTGTTGTGCGTATTGCGCATCTTCGCCAGTCATTGCTTCGTGCTCAACTTGACAGAAATCGGTATTGTGGTGTTTTAATCTGTTTTCGAATTTGTTTATCCACCACAAACGTCCTGCTACAGGTGGAAAGTTATCATTTAATGGGAGATCGTTTGTGCCTTCGTCATATAGCGTTTTGACAATATCTAATTCTTCGTCCATCATTAGTACCATGCGCTCGTAACAAGGAGCTACTTCTTTCGCAATTATGGGACGTTCGGCCATGGTAGACATGATGTTGATTAATTTAAAGCACGAATCCAGTGTGTAACATTCCTCAAATGATAGTAGAAAATTGGCAGCCATTCTTTTATCGTAATCTTCGACTTGTTTCATAAATTTTTTAGCATCTGCTTCGATTGAGTTGTCTTCCAAGTCCATAACTTCGTATTGCACGTTTGCGAAAAATGAGTAGCTGTTGTTAAATTCATTCAATATTTCCTCGCACTTTGTAGAAAGATTTCTACCTTTCAAACCAGCAAACTCAATCTTTTCCAACTTAAAGTACTCCAATGCAGTGCTCAAAATCGACTTAACTAACATTAGTCGATCGCGATAATTGAAAAGTCGTTGAAAAATATTGCGTGAGTGGAATGTCCATGGAATTGGTTCCACACCTTCCGGAAAATTGTCTGCCACTGTACTTCGCACAAACTCAAACGACTTCTGGAAGAGGTTTATTATATCCAGACATTGTTTGCATTTGATATCATATTCTTCTGCATCTCCTTGAAAGATTGAACTTGGATCTATGTTACGTTCAATCGCGTCGATTAATGAGTTGGAGAACATTTGAAGGAGTGTAACAATCCTGTCAATAAAACAGTAATATCTTGAATTGACCCAGATAAGGCCGACAGTGTGCATCATAGGGCCGATAAAATGAATCAAATCAAGAAATTCTGAATCATTCATTTTTTCAAAGTTGGATTTTGCCGCACCTAGGTATAAGACAATATCTTTGGCTTCTATTATACCAGCTACTACGTTTTTAAAGGTTTCTTGGAAGTATCCTAAGTAATCACTATTGGATAACTCTGCGAATAGTATGAGTTTCTTCACTCGGGGATCTCGAAGTTGAGAGTAGATATTGACAAGGTTTTTGAGCCGGCTCTCCCAGAAGTCTATCTCTTCTAATGGACCTGGGTGAGCTCCATTAGCGAATGATAGGAGGGGAGATTGTTTGAGGATATTATTTATTATGTTAGCCCATTGGGCTATGGACGTTTCAATTGATAGTTTGAGTTTAAGATCATCGTCTGTTACTCCTTCTCCTCCATCTTCTACTCGAGAAATTGCAGCGTATACTGTCTCCATATTATGGGGCATAGGGAGTAAAGTCAAACCTCGTAGTGATCCCTTCATCTGTTGGGGAAAGGTATTTTATGGTTTAGGATGTGTGAGTAAATTGGGTCGGATTAAGGATATACCTGATACAGATTTTTGTTGAAACTAATTATTTGGTTGCGTATATCTTCTTGAACCACCAACGGCCAAGTCTTGGAATTTTCTATGTTTTTCACCAGCGGCATAAAAACCTCCTCGCAGAGTACGGCCAATTCATCAACTGGCCTGCAGGACATATCGCCAAACACTATAACCTTTATAAAATTCTCCATGTGGATGATAGCGGGTTCTTTTTTTAGAAAGTAGGAAGTTTTTGATTTATTCGATGCTTTATATTGAGCTTCTGGTATTAATGAACCAGCAGCATTTAGAGAAAAATATAAGCTCATGACATTTTCCTTATTTAGAAAATCCATTACAATCGCCTAAAAATAATAATACAATGAATAAATATGAATCAAACTTAATCAACGTAATTATTTTCAATTACTTCAAACTCCTCGGTTTGTATCATCTTGGACCATCTCTCCTGCTTAATTTTCATGGTACGGAGAATGTAGCCGAGGAGAAATTCTAAGCGATCATCAACGTCAAGTTCCAATTCAATTGCTTCTTTCTTTTCGGGTTCTTTTTCTTTTTCTTCGGCCGCCATTTTGAGTAGGGAAATCTACTCGTGCAAAACTGCCAATGTAATGATGTGTTGCGTATGCGTGAACAAACTGGCAGATAAATACTAATATAACAGAAACAATGGAACAACGAATACCATAGATATCACAGGAATGTTGATAAAAATATATTTTGCAGTACAAAATTGGAGATATTTTATGTATTTGCAATATAGGTACATATTTCAATCAAGTTATCTCTTACGCTATGCACTAGGTCGGGCGTTGTGCGTTGAAGGGAAAATGTTTTGTTGCGAAGTGGATTAGGTGCGTAATTGACTCATTGATTACAGTATTTATTTTTGAGATTTTTTGTTTGTTTCTGCGCCATGTGCGTTTGTTTACATTGCTTTATTTGCCTTAAGTGCAGTATCGATCGATTCGTTTTATTTGTGCACAAACAGCTTATCTGTGCGCTGAGAAACTTAAAAATAAATCTTGTATTGGTTTTCATGTTCAATATTTGCCTTTACTTACTCTTTTGCTCCAAATATATTTTCTAATTTAAGTTTTATTGGATTATGTACATCTTTGCAAGTTTACATTATGTAATAGCAATACATAAATAGAAACAGATTGCAATACATGTTGAAGCCAATGGATTATAATCATTATTTATAAATCCACCGCAGATCCGCAAACGAAAGCGGTGTGGTATTCACGCCATCTGCGTGCAGCTGCGTGCGGTGATGTTCTGTTATTGAGCATGAGTGCGAGTGTATCAAGTCCGTTTATGTACGCATTTACTATCTATGTACATAACTTCAAACGCCACTTGCTCACCATTGTCGGGCTTCTTTTTGTGTGCGTGTTTGTGCCTCGCGCGCCGAACGGTGAACCGATTCACACGCAACAGCCACACTCTCCAAACACATTCATTCCTCCGAAACGCGAGTGAGAGAAGTGAAGCACCGCCGCCGTACGCAAACGCGCCGCTCGTCGCCGCAGTGAACAACCGGCGTTCGGCCGCGCTGCTTCTGTCCATGTAGCAGGTGTAGTGTTTTCGGCCCCTGTTTTTACGCGTACATTTCCTTCAATTAATTGTGCGCGATCCCAAATGACGCATCATTCTTTGGGATTATAGTTTTTTACGCTTTTTTCCGGTGTCCTCGCGTTTGTGCGGTTAGGTGAACGGCAGTGCTGCAGAAGCCGTGGGTGTTTGTATACTTCCGAGACGAACACATACAGGTGGATGCAATTAGCGTCTCTTCTTTCTCCATTATCTCGCAGAAAAAAAACACTCCATCAAGCTACACATCTAACAACATTGCAATCTCCACGTCATACGCTGTAGCATTATTGCATGTCCGAATAGCAACATTATCAACCATAGACCATAGAGTAATGTAAAACTAGCGCACTACATTAGCAAGCACCTTTTCATCATGGTACTATGATCAATTATTTATATTTATTCTTTTTCTATCTTCAATTGTATTTCTACACGTGTGGAATTTACTTTCAGAGAGACTTTTTCTAATTCTTTTGGTACAAACTGTATTAGTAATTACACTCGAGTAATTTCAATAGAAAGCTGACGATACTTTGCGTTTTCATGCGCTCGTTACCTGTGTATCTTATTCGGGTTTGTAGGAAATATATCAATCACTTGATCGAAGCAATTGATATTTATAGTAATTACGTTTTTATTTTGTGTAGGTTTTCATTAGTTACTATGAGTTGTCATTTTTATTATTTGCGTTAGGTCATAAAACTTGTATTTTTGCATATAAATCATTATTTATTCAGCGAACCTCAGTAACAACTTGTGTAAATACAAATTAAAAGTAAAAGGGACGTTTTGCTTGATTAAATTTGATATGATTGTGTTTGATATTTGGAAAACATTTAAAATTACATAGTGGTGGAGTTAGTTATGTATATATAACGACGCCATCATAGAAAAAGTGTTTATAGCAACTTTATATTGAGTGTAATAAACTATATTACGGTTTCTTGTTTAATATATATTCACTGTAACCGTAGTCCTTATTATTATAGTTTGTATTAAAAAAAATTGTAGCACATTTGGTTTTGTTTGTATATTCACTTACTTTTTATTCACTGGCGATATTTCTTCATTGTTAATGGGTTTTTAACAGTCTGTGTAATGTTTATTAAGTATTTTCATCTCTATTCTACGTATTTACTTCTTGCTTGTGTTTATCTTTCACATCTATACAAAGGATGTGGAATATTAAAATTTAAACATTTTGTAATAGAAACTTAAGTAAACTTAAGTTAAAAGTGAAATGAACTTGACTCACTTTGGCATGAGCTCCTTTTATGTTGTATGAGATCACTTCACCGAAATACGCTTCCATTACCCACTACCTACCGACCGTCACTAATCCCACCATCATTCATTTCCAGGAGGTGTAGAAGCATGGATGATGACGATGATGACTTCTACGATACGCTATCGGTAAACTCGCAATTAGTGGGCAGGCGGCGCGTGAACAGTCGCGACTACATTAGTCTCTCCCGGAACACAGTGTACCATTCTGCACTGGACCTGGAAATGGAGTTGGCCAGCCTAAAACAACCCACCAGCGATGACGAGCAGCCGCCGCCAACAACAACGACGACGACAACGAGCGTTCCCAACAGCAAGGTCTCGAAAAAGAATAGAACTCCTATTATAACCTATACGCAGTGGAGAGAGCGGGTATAAACATTTCAATGTTCCAAATTTCAAGCCTTCGAATCTAAGAACTAAACTTGTGCACATTGGCAAACGGATGCATGTTGGCAAAAACAGGAATATTTATAACACTGCTCTACTGCAACTGCACTTGGCTTTATCTGTGTCTGTCTATTCATGTTTACGGAGATCATTAATTGGGCATTTTTACACGAAAAACAACTCCATTTTATGTACTTACTTTATTTGATGCCGGTATATAACCTTGAAACTATATTTGCGAGAAAGTGTTTGACTTAAGTCATACATTGATTTAGCGATTACCGATTTATTTTTAAAACTAATCTAAACAATTCTATGAATTTGTTTTATTCTACAGTTTTCAAGAATCACAAAGTATCGCAATAATTCTATATAAAATACTTAGAGATATAAGTCTCTAAGTCATCTATAACAAATTATCATATTTGATATTTTTTTAGAAATGGTGCGTCAGAAATTATGAATATTAGTAATGCGATATCATAACAAATGACATTTGAACTGCCTTATAAACAAATTAACTCATTATTTCAGAGATAAACTGGTGACCAGTGAAATAATTGCATAGTTTGGTGTAGAATTTAATTTACAAGTTCTTTATCATGCAATACTGTACTAGGTAATATTCCTTTAACTTACACAAACAATACAGTTGTTTGTTTACAGTTAGCATAAAAAACATACATGTCTAGAACTAACCGTACCAAATAAGATTTTGTTACTAATTATGTTTGTGGAATGCTCAAAGGGAATTGCAACAGTAGACTGAATTTGATCTTTGTTGACCTATTCAAAATTGGCCATTGATATGATTTAGGAGAGGAATAGCAACTGTTTAACCATATTGAAGTTATGTGTAATAAAATATTTATCAAACATTTGTAAATGTGCATTTTACGGGTGTATAATATGAAAGAAGAATGTAGTATTGTCACAAATAGATTGAGTGTCCTGTATGAAAAGCTAGTTTTCGTGAACGCAATCATGTAATAAACTAATCGTACTAAAAAGCACTTTTTAGGTTTAAGTATGAACAAAACACTTAAAGAAAATACACCGGAATGATAACAATCAATACACCCACTGGGTCTTCCACTTCAATCCAATTAATAAAATGAATGGCTCGCAATAAATCTCTGCAAACACAAATGTCCATTTACTGCAATGTTTATTGCGAGACCGGAAATGGGCGACTAAAAATAAAATGTTGATGTGATTGCACTGAAAATGTAAATTTCTAATATTGATTTATTGATTTTCTAGAACTGGAGCGTTTCGAAAGACAGACTAGCCGTCGATTTCGTCCTCGCGTACGAATATGGAACGTGCGAGAAGCGCATGCAATTCAAAAAAAGTTTGGAGGGTGTCGGGCTTATTTTGGAAGAGGAAACTGTTCAGAATATTCATTTTTTGAAGATCCACGTTCCGGATGAGGTCTTGGAACAATACGCTGAGATTCTCAAATTGCGCATGCCTTTAAAATTAGTAAGTAATTGTATTTAAGCAACGTCGATAGTGCATTGCTTAAGGTATAAATCGGTTTGTGTGGCACATCAAGTTATTTCAAGAACTATTTATAGATTACGATGAAAATGTGTAATAGGCCATCTTATGAAGCAGACATATTATATGTGTGATGGGAATTTGTCTTATTTGAAGTTTATTTTTTCAGGAATCCGGTTATGTTGACAAACCAAATATTTTTCGAAGGGCAATAAACAAAGGCCTAGAAATGTGCAACGTGGCAGTTGATGAGAAGATATTTCCACCTCGAAAGTACCAGCTTACATCCGAGTACGTGAGAGAGCGACATTATCTCTACGACAAAACTAGTCCGGATTATTTCAACAGTTGCACTAGAATCACCGTAGCATCATACATTTTAGAACGAGAGAAATTTGGAAGTGGAGATCATGATTTTGGGATTAAGCAGCTTTTAGCCGATGGTGCTTATAAAGCTGCGTACCCGTTGCATGATGTTTGTATTATTTGTTTACTTTTAATATCATTTTGCAATTAATCTACTACTATGCCTGTTTAAATATTTAGGGAAGTTTACGCAATGGATTCGATAACGATTCCATGCGCAAGAAACTACTCGATGAATGGGCCTCGATTCCAAAATGGGCCAAGTTTCAGCCACTAGATGAGATCAAAGACTATTTTGGCGTGAAAATCGCGCTATATTATGCATGGTTGGGTTTTTATACGCACATGTTAATTCCTGCGGCAATTGTGGGTTTATTTTGCGTCGTTTATGGATTGTTGACGATGAATTCTGATCGGTTGAGTTCTGATATTTGTACTCGAGATGTGACAATGTGCCCACTATGCGATAGATATTGCCCCTTTTGGGATTTGAAGGACACCTGCGCATACTCGAAAATCTCTTACATTATCGATAATCCGGTGACGATTTTTTTCGCTATCTTTATGTCCATATGGTCGGCTCTCTACTTGGAGCTGTGGAAGCGATATAGTGCGGGTATTGCCCACCGTTGGGGCCTTACAGGGTTCAGCCTGCAGTGCGAACCGCCACGGCCCGAATACCTCAATCGACTCGCACACGCGAAGAAACAAAAATTGAACGTGGTCACAGCGTTGTCGGAGCCGGTAGTGCCTTTCTGGAAGATGAAACTACCTGCGTTTTTATTGAGTTGTACAATGGTTCTTGTTTTTGTGAGTAGTTTTAATTTCAGTTACCCTTTTACAGTATCTAAACGAATTATTATTTGCAGATGTTAATAGCAGTTAGCATTGTCTTTGGAGTTGTTATTTATCGAATGTCTCTGGCGTCATCGGAAAGTTTGTACGCAGACAAAACCAGCTTTAGAATATACGTGGTGCCCATCACTGCAGGCCTAATCAACTTGGTGTGTATCGTTATTCTGAACACCATCTACTACAAGTTGGCGTACTTCCTTACTGAATTGGAGCTGCATCGAACACAGACCGAGTTTGAGGATAACTTGGCACTGAAAATCTACTTATTCCAGTTCATTAACTATTACACGTCCATTTTTTACATCGCGTTTATTAAGGGGAAATTTGTTGGGTATCCGGCGAAGTACAACAAAATTTTGGGAATTCGACAGGAAGAGGTATTTGACTTTCTTTTTGTTTCTAGTGATTGTATTTTCAGATTTTCCTTGTTTAATTTCTAGTGCCAACCTGGGGGTTGCCTGATGGAATTAACTATCCAATTGGCCATCATAATGATTGGTAACCAAGCTTTAACTAGTATTATAGAGATTGTTGTGCCTTTTGTGACTAAGCTTATAAACAAACTGGAGCTGAAGACCGAGAAAACGACTGAAGATATTCGCTCGCACAACCAATGGACAGATGATTATAAATTATTGGATTTGGAACCGCATGGCCTGTTCAACGAATACCTCGAAATGGGTATGTAAAAAGCATGCACTTGAAACATGTAATTCATTATTTTTATCGCTACGGCATATCCACGTATGACATTGTTATTCAAACAATTGGTTTTGTTTCCAGTTTTGCAATATGGGTTTGTAACGATATTCGTCACTGCGTTTCCACTAGCGCCTTTATTCGCACTCATTAACAACGTATTCGAAATGCGTTTGGATGCGAAGAAAATGATCAAATACTTTAGGCGACCTGTGCCTAAACGCGTTAAGGACATTGGCGTGTGGTACAGCATTATGAATATGCTCTGTCGTATTTCAATTGTTTCCAATGGATTTATAATAGCATTTTCCTCGCAATTTATTCCTAAGCTAGTTTACAATATGAAAATCAACAAGGAACTTGTGGATGTTGGCTTTTTGAATTATACGCTGGCGTCTTTTGACATTAGGGATTTTCAAGCCGGGCATGGACCGGAGGAGAATCCTTGGAATGTCACCATGTGTCATTTTGCCGACTACAGAAATTCACATGATGTGGAGCCGAAATATAAGCGGCCTATTGATTATTGGCACATTATGACGGCGAGACTCGCATTTTTGGTTGTGTACCAAAATTTGGTCGGAGTTCTTTTCACCGCCATACAATACATTATTCCCGACGTGCCTAATAAACTTAACGAGAGGATTCAGCGTGAAGCATATCAAATTAATGAAAGTATCATTAAGAAAGAGAAAGATATTAGAGACCAAGGTAGTGTTTTCTTCTACTCTCATTAGTTTGTCCTTTTCGGTTTGTTCTAAAATTTGGTTTATTTTTGTTTTCAGCAGATCAAAGAGACAGAAGAGTTTTAGAATCCCAAGTAACTATTTAAGACCATTGTTTAAAGTTGTTATCTAATGTTGCTTTGTTTTTGTTAGAGATCAATAGACAGCACTGCAAAGCTTGCCTACATTGACGAAGTCGAAGAGGGTGAGCTGCGGTACGAGGACCAAAATGGCGACGTGCTTCATCGTCGCCAACGACCTAATAGTGAGCCCCTATCAACTTCACATTTATAGCATTTTATATCATTACTTGTTGGAACTTTTTACATTACCATCGTAATCATTTAAGATACTAAGGCAAACATACATTCACACATTTCTATTTATGCACTTGTTACAATTTTTCTAAATGATATAATGATATCCTATTAACGTTTTGCTGCACAACATTAGTGAAATTTATACATCACTTGTTCAAAGTGTTATCCAAACGTTAAAACTTGCCAAATAACATTTCTACCTACTTATCAAATCAAATTTGTAACATACTATAGCAAAATATTATCATGTTTCATAGGAGAATTGAGAATTTCACAGTTGTGACATTGCAGAGTTTAACAGTGTTATTAATCTAAGTTACGTTTAAAAGGAAAGGAAAGGTGTAGGAAGATTTTGAGACCGTTTGAACCAAATGTTTATGGTTATTTTAAAATTTTATTACGAATAATTGTAGTCACGACCATTTGTAAACTCTTAATTGCGCTGTACTATAATGTCTTTAGTTACTATTTGTTTGCAAAAGTCACCATTTGTATGCCTCTAGTCACGTCGTCGATGTCTGCCCGGTGACGAATGGTGGGTTTTGCGAACAGCGCCTCATATATTTATTGTAAATAAGGCGTTATCGAATTTTTATGTATGTTAATTTGTAAACAATTATTGTGTACTTTCAATACATTTTAAATGATGATCTGTTTTTATATTTGTGCTACTATCAAAATAAAACTAAATTTAAGTAAAGTTAATTGCAATTATATATATCTCCGCCCATGATATGAATACGGCGATGTGCTGCCTTCCCATGCCGCATATTCTAGTTTAGTCTTAATCGGATGTGTTGTGCCGGTTGTGCCTATTGCAATCGGTGCACAAAATCAGCAGGTATTCTTATCATGAACTGCTGTGTCGTTGTTTGTTCGGCTACGGCAAGCGCTATCCCATAGATTGTAGCCAGTTTCGTACCGGTCTTTGGTTAATCCAGGCGTATTTTACGCCACTCGTATTGTTTGTCCGGGCATCTACTTTCCAAATTCGCATTATATTCGATCATCAATCGACTAAAGTAATGTTATTTACTGTTTGCGCGTATATAGTCAATAAATGCCGGTTAAGTGTATCGCCCCCATGTTGATTTGATATTCATCATGAGGATGACCCATCGTGCTGGTGTAAGTCACAACTAAACAGCACAGATTGTTTGTTTTTCTCCGCTGTGTGATTATAATATTACTAAACCGTATGAAATAGTTTTGTTTAAACTTGTTTTCTCTTTTTATTTACAGTATTTACTGTTATTTTCATTTTTAGGAGAATTTTGGAAATTTGTTTGTTTTTATTTATTGTATAATTCATAGATGGATGGGATATTTATCAACGTTTGTATATAAACAAGATTTTTTGTATCGCGTTGCAATCTGCTCTTATTGCATGTAGCATATTTTTGTTTAGTTTTGATCGCATATGCCCCACGGAATAAAATTATTTTTAATAATTACCTGGTTGAGAATTTTCCAAACTTTCATATTCTTTGTTGCGTTGGTCGCTTGCGCTTTTAGTTTAAAAGAGGGCAGCGGTAGAAGTGACTCGCATTCAGGGCACCGTACAAGGGCGGCGCCAGAAGTGACTCGTGTTCAGGGCACCGTACGTTGATGAATGTATAACTGACTCTCATTCGCTCATTTTTTTAAAATTATTTATTTATCTCTTAGATTTTCAATTTAACTAGATTATTTTGTAAAGACTTTTCCGTAGATCAGGAGTTTGAAATCCGTTTTTGTCTATCAATGTAACACGGAAATGGAAGTAAATATAACTTTACTGACATTGGTACAAGAAAGTATCTTCAGATGACGCAACGATGCATATTTTAACTAAAAATATTCCTGCGAGTAAAAGTCGACCTACACAGTTGTGATGCCGGCACGCATCTCTTACTTCGTGCGGCAAGTAACAATACTCCCGCGAGTGTTCGTCTTTCTCATTGTAAATTCGGTATATCGCGTTACATTTGATTGAATTTAGGGCTAATTGTTGTGTTTAGTCACGCCTTAAATATTTTTCGCGTGTGAAAATGTAGTAATTTTCGCGTGTATTCGTGATCGGTTGCCGTCGGACGCCGGCTGGTCGGTGTTGTTGTGTGATTGTAAATAATATTGTAGTTAATTTTGGTCTTGTGCGAACATTTTTTGTCTTAAGCAGAATTTGTCGGATCAATGTGCTACCTGGTAAGAATACTCATTTAAATAATTGGTGTAAATAAGACGATATTTTAACTTTAAATTTTGGGTTATGCCAGAACTCATTGTCCGAAATTGTGTAACTAATGTTGTTTCTTCTTTATTTCAGTATTTACTCGCATTTAATTCCCGGTGTTCGATACACTGGTAAGTACATTTTTTATCATTCTTAGTATCTGGTAGGAAAATTGAAAAATTGATATCTTAAACTTATTTTTGCGGAAATTTCTTTTAAGTATTTCGCAGAAAATTTGTTCAATAAAACTCAAATCATAAATCATAATTTTATAATTTAAATTTTAGTTCACTTGCATGAACTAAAAATCATAAAATAGAATTGTATTCGTTTTGAAGACAAATCTATCGCGTTTGAGTAGTTATACTCGTAAACAACTTTCTTATCGTATTCGCTATGCGAGATGCTACGCGTAAGATTCTCGTCGCGCTGTCGCATGCAGCACATTTTAGTTTAGTTCTTATTGCAATAAGAACGTGTCTATTGCAATTCGCGTACAAGGTCGCGTGCCATCGACGCGCCGCCGGCTTACGCATCTATTGCTTTCTTGTCATAAACTGTCGCGTTGTTGCTTGCACGGTTTGCAGCCAGTTTCGTGCCGGTCTCTGGTTGATCCAGACGTATTTTACGCGACTCGTATTGTTTGTCTGGACATCTACTTTCCAAATTCGCATTATATTTGATCATCAATTAACTATAGTAATGTTATTTACTGTTTGCACGTATATAGTCCATAAATGCCGGTTAAGTGTATCGCGTTGATTTGATATTAATCATGAGGATGGCCCAACCTGGTGGTGTAAGTCACTTTTATTTACTGTGTAATTCATAGATGGATGGGATATTTATCAACGTTTGTGTATAAACAAAGTTTTTTGTATCGCGTTGCAATCTGCTCATATCGTATGTAGCATATTTTTGTTGTTTCGATCGCATATACCCCACGGAATAAATTTATTTTTATTTATTACCTGGTAGAGAATTTTCCAAACTTTCATATTCTTTGTTACGTTGGTTGCTTGCGATTTCAGTTCAAAAGAGGGCAGCGGTAGAAGTGACTCGTTCTCAGGGCACCGCACAAGGGCAGCCGTAGAAGTGACTCGTGTTCAGGGCACCGTATGAGGGTAGCGGTAGAAGTGACTCTTGTTCAGGGCACCGTATGAGGGTAGCGGTAGACGTGACTCGTGTTCAGGGCACCGTATGAGGGTAGCGGTAGAAATGACTCGTGTTCAGGGCACCGTACGTGGATGAATGTATAACTGACTCTCATTCGCCCATTGAATTGAGAAAATCTTGTAAACTAAAACAGATAGAAAGGAACGAATTGCAGCGTCTTAATCTACGGACAATTCTCTATCAAATAAGCTAGATAAATTGGAAATCTGAGAGATGAAATTTTAATTCTTAAGAAAAAATTGCCAAAGGGGGGGTGCTTGATAATTTTTATCGACGATTTTCGATAATTAATATCTCTTAAACTAAAAGAGATAGTAACCAACGCTGATTATGAAAGATTGGAAAATTCTCTGTCAGATAAAGACTTAAAATCATTATATTTCCAACAGTAAAAGGTCCAAAAACGCCACTAAAAGTACTAAAAAGTGACATCGCGAATATCTCGTTAACTAAAAGAGATAAATAGGATCTGATCGCTGCGTCTTAATCTACGGACTATTCTCTATAAGATAGGATAGTTAAAACGGAAATCTGAGAGATGAAATTTTATTTCTTAAGAAAAAATTGCTAAGGGGGGGGGGGGGAGTGCTTCCTAATTTTTATCGACGATTTTCGATAGTTAATATCTCTTCAACTAAAAGTATTACTTACGCTTACTGACACTTTACACTTAACATATAATGCATAAAACATAAATATATAAAATTTTACTTTTGTTTTTACTAAATTGAACCTTTTATATAATTATTTATTTCAATTTTAAAGTGTGTAGTGTTATAAATGTATAACTGTTGCACTGAAATAGAAATAACATACATGCAAAGTGTGAAGTAAGCTTTACAAAAATCTTTGTGTTTAGTGAGCCTTAGAAGTTGTACATAAAAAATATTATAATACACCCCTATACTTAATATTTCTACAATATTTCGCGCATTTTTAGTCTTTTGCGATGGAAATTGCAATTAACTAGCTTATCTTATAGAGAATTTGATGCAGATTGCCAATCTACAATCTGTTTCTCTCTATCTCTTTTAGTATCAGTATTTGTTTCTGCATAAACAAGTTTTTGAGTCGCATTTATATCATACTTTACACTTCGTGGAGACGTTTTATTTCATGTTTAGTCTCTGTATTATTTTATCTCGACTTGTACGCAATGTTCTAACTATTGTTCTGTTCTCTGTTTCAACAATAGCCTTTTAGTTCCAAAGGCCGAGTTATGAGCAAAATTTGAATGCGAATTTGATTCGCTTCGTCGGTCGACTCCCAATTTAAAATAAAATAAATATTGACACCCCTTCCTACATTCCCCCTTAGCAATGTCATTTATTTCGCAGATTTTTATCATCTTCAACATTAGTCCTGAGTGTTGCACCGCGTGAAATACAGATATGTGGTATGTGAAATTAAATGTTTGTTTTGTAGGTACTACTGATCAACACGTTCTCGTAATATGTAGATCATTTTAGTCATTGCATGCGAACGGAGCGTGACACTTGAGCGGGGTGTAGAATTAAATTCTCCGACGGGTTATATTTGTTTGTTCCAGGAATTCAACCTGCAATCCGCAAAAATTTGCATAAATAGGTGATGTTTTCACCCTTATTCGTTAAATGTTTGTAATTTTTTGGGTTTGGACGCACCTTTGGCGATGCAGTAGTTTTAACGCGGCGTCTAAAGATGCGGAATTAACTTCTCCGTCGGGTTGTATTAATTTTTTGTGGGTATTCAACTGGCAACCCGCAAAAATTTGCATAAAAGGGTGATTTTTTCAGTCTTCCTCGTGAAATGTTAGTATTTTTGGGTTTATACGCGACCATGGCTGCTCAGTAACTTTAGCGCAAAAGCAAATACGTAACTGAACGACACATATTTCGACAACAAACATTTTGTCGGAATGTGCGATTTGATAACATTCTTAGCATTTGTATTAAATGTTCTAATTTAAATTCTCTTCTATGTTCCAGGAATAGAGACAAGATGTCTTGCGAACCAATGAGGCGAAATTGTGGTAAGAATATCAATATTCTTTTATGTCACCTATTACACGCTATTACATGGGAACGCGAGTTATATTGTAATTTGTGTGCGTGCGCCGTAGTACTCGTTGCACTAGGAATTGTACTTTCTTAATATTATAGCATGCGAACGCGGTGTCATAATAAGTTGAGAATAATTTAGAAGTGACTCGTGTTCAGGGCACCGCATGGGGGCCGCGGTAGATGTGACTCGTGTTCAGGGCACCATACATAGATGATTGTACAGCTGACCCCCATTTGTCCATTTTTTCATATGAATTAAAATTTCATCTCTCAGATTTCCGTTTTAACTAGCCCATCTTATAAATAATAGTCCGTAGAATAGTCTCTGGGAGTTGTACCTATTTATCTCTTTTAGTTTACGAGATATTCGCGATTGAATAAAATGGGCAAAAATTGCAAAATGTCACTTTTTAGCACTTTTAGTCGCATTTTTCGACCTTTTACTGTAGGAAATATAATTATTTTATATTTTTATCTGATAGAGAATTTTCCAATCTATCATAATCAGCAATTTCTTGGTTGCTATCTCTTTTAGTTTAAGAGATATAAATATTCAAAAATCGTCGAAAAAAAGTATCAAGCACCCCCCCTTGGCAATTTTTTCTTAAGACTTAAAATTGTCTAAAGATGCGGAATTAACTTCTCCGTCGGGTTGTATTAATTTTTTGTGAAACTTGATGCAACACTCTTTTCTAGGAGACACTACTACCGCTACTCTCCTACGGTGCCCTAAATGGGTGTATCTTCTACCGCTACCTTCGTACGGTGCCCTAAATGAGAGTCTTTATGGATCCTGTAAGAATAATTTATTTAATTTATGTATATGTATACTTCATTTACATAAATATTTTCCAGTTGTTGGATAAAGCATTGGCTAATCCTGAGATGGTCAAGTTTATCAATAAGGACCAACTGGAGACGTTCCATGGTACTGGTGGAGTGCGTATTGAGGATGATGTTTTGATTACTGAAGATGGATGTGTCAACTGGACTAAAGTTCCAAGAACGTATGTTATATTTTGGCAATTTATAATATTTTATATTTTACTATTCTGTTATTCATTCTGGTTTATAGGGTCCAAGAAAGTGAAGATTGGATTGCCGGTGTTGATGATGATTCCAAACACGATTGAATGAATTTACACCATCTTGAAGCTGTTATTGTTATAATTTTTGTTTATTTTCTTAAAAGTTGTTAAAAAGGCATTATATAATTGCATATTATTATCCTGTTTTCTTGCTTGTATTGTTGAAAATATTGAGAAATTGAGTTTGGGATTGTGTATATTCTACATGTTTGAATAAAATTGTAGTTTTATATTTTTGACTATAAATTGTTATCGTTTTATTTGTTCCAAACGGAGAACTTAGCTCGCAACATCGTTACTCCTTTATTTAATCCATAAATCCCTTAAACTTTATTGGAAATGCCACTGCTAAATATGCCAAGTAGTTCAAAATCAATTTTATATTGTATCAATATTAATTTAAAAAAGGTATCACTCTATCACGTGTATCCAGTCGAAATAGTCTAATTTATGAAGATTAAATGATAATTATCTCGACAACAAAAAGGGCTAGAATAAAAATAACTACATCTTCTTAATCCTTGAAAAATTCTAGACAAGATGGCATATTTATCTCAAAACCAAAAAATGGGCACAAAAAATTTTTAAAGAAAAAATTTTGTTATAAAAAAGATTCCTCTTTTTTATGTCGAAAATTAAAAGTTGGAATTTTAAAATTCTGTTTTCGGATTATGATTGATAATTTAATTCTACATCGATTATTTAAGTTACTTTTTTTGTTTATGCTAACCGTTTAGGCCCTATTTACAATTTTAATGAAAACAACATTCGACATAAAAAAGAAAAATGTTTTGCCTTTTTTATGACGAAATCTTTTTTCAGCAAATGCAGGTTCTGTAATAATTGGAATTTTTAAACTCTGTTTTCGGATTCTGAAAGTAGATTAAATTCTGAATCGGAAACCAGTAACACACTTATAGATTAAGGCCCTATTGGCATATAAAAAAACATTTTTTAATTAAAATTGCAAATAGGGCCTAAACGTCAATGTTATGAAAATAATTACATAAATAGTTGATATAGAATTTTAGCTTAAAGAATCCGAAAACAGAATTTAAAAATTCCACTTATACAGAAGCTGCATTTGCTGAAAAAAGATTTTTAAACCTTAATTTTACCCGCCATTACTAATTACCGCCAAAACTTTATCTACCTCCTCATACTTTCTGCGATCCGAATACCAAAACCTGAGTTGTGACTGTTTCGAGACCAAATTTTGCGTGATTTTGCCTCGCAGAGTCGACAAAATAAAGATTGAATATTAGGAACGCAGAAAGTGTTAGGAGGCTGATAAAGTTTTGGCGGTAACTAGTAATGGCGGGTAAAATTAATGTTTAAAAATCTTTAAGAATGTGCTGACTTCTAGTGGCGACGGGCCGAAGTTTATATTTGAAAGCTAATAGTACAATCTGTACAGTAAGCTTTAAAACTTTTAGTAGTTGTAGTTTCCAATAAACAGATGGCGCTAGCATGCACTTTTCAAAATAAATGATTTAAGGGATCATTTAATATGTGATCAGGTTGAAATAAGAGAACTAGTTTTAATCAAAAAAACTTAAAAAATATTCTTTACTAAAGAAAACACACAAGCATACATTTTGGAAGTCAATTTGTGTAATAATCACTAAAGTTATTTAAGATACATTCTGATGCAAGAATGGTCCATCTTCGATGTCACTCAGGTGCAAAATACCTAAAACCAGCAAAAATTAGTCCATCGAACATAAAAATGCAATTTTGGGGGTCAATTTACGACATAGTCACCAAAGTTATTTAAGCAAATGATAAAGAAATTTAATACTTACAATCTCCTGCAAGAATGGTCCTTCCACGATGTCATACTCAGGTGCAAAATCCCTAAAACCAGCAAAAATTAGTCCCTCAAACATAAAAATGCAATTTTGAGGGTCAATTTGTGACATAATCAAAAAGTTATTAAGGCAAATGATAACGAAATTTAATACCTACATTCTCATGCAAGAATGGTCCTTCCGCGATGTCAGACTCAGGTGCAAAATCCTTAAAACCAGCAAAAATTAGTCCTTCAAACATATACATGCAATTTTGAGAGTCAATTTGTGACATAATCACAGACGTTATTTAAGTAAATGATAAAGAAATTTAATACTTACAATCTCATGCAAGAATGGTCCTACCACGATGTCGGACTCAGGTGAAAAATCCCTAAAACGATCAAAAATTAGTCCTTCGAACATAAAAATGCAATTTTGGGGGTCAACTTGTGGGATAATCACAAAAGTTAACTAGGAAAATTATAAAGAAATTTAATACTTACATTCTGATGCAAAAATGAACCTTCTACGATGTCAGACTCGGGAGCAAAATCCCTAAAACAGGCAAAAATTAGTCCTTGGAACATAAAAATGCAATTTTGGGGGTCAATTTGTGAGATAATCGCAAAAGCTAACTAAGAAAATGAAGAAGAAATTTAATACTTACCATCTGATACAAAAATGGTCCTTCTACGGTGTCAGACTCGGGTGCAAAATCCCTAAAACAAACAAAAATTTGTCCTTCGAACATAAAAATGGAATTTTGGAGGTCAATTTGTGAGATAATCACAAAAGTTAATTAAGAAAATGAAAAAGAAATTTAATACTTACCATCTGATACAAGAATGATCCTTCTACGATGTCAGACTGGGTTCAAAATCCCTAAAACAAACAAAAATTAGTCCTTCAAACCTAAAAATGCAATTTTGGGGGTCAATTTGTGAGATAATCACAAAAGTTATTTAGGAAAATGATAAAGAAACCAGCGAAAATTTGTATAAAAAAGTGATTTATCGGTATTTCAACATTTTTCGTAAAATGTTTGTATGTTTTCGGGTTTGTACGCAATCTTGACGGCTCAGTAACTTCAGTGCGGCGCCTAGAGATGCGGAATTAAATTCTCCGGCGGGTTGTGTTTGTTTGTTGCAGTAATTCGACTTACAATCCGCGAAAATTTGCATAAAAGGGTGCTTTTTCAACCCTTTTTCATGAAATGTTTGTATTCTTCCGGGTTTGCACGCGACCTTGGCGGCTCAGTAACTTCAGCGCAGCGTCTAGAGATGCGAAATTAAATTCTCCGTCGGGTTGTATTTAATTGTTGTAAAAATAACGCTGATATAATACCATTCATGATTTAATATTGTAAACAACCTTGAAAAACGAAAAGCGCCAGAAGATGACCCTCGGGTAAATATTTGGTGCAGAATTCACCAAGAACTAAAATTAAATCACATTTAAATACAATAATACTAGACACGGTTAGATAAACAAGTTCACAACAATGACAAGGTAAGATATTGTTCTAACCCGGCGTAAGCAAAGACTTAATTGCATGCGTATGAAGCGTACTTCTAGAACAATGCATGCACGCATAAGTGAATTAAACAGGAACAATAATTGCAGAAAAGGGAAATAAAGAAAGTCAGCACTTTACCATTCTTTCACGGCTTCAATGAGGAATGTTGTCCATGTCCCCGGAGCAAAATACCAAACACAACGACACAGATAGGCCGCGATTAAAAGAAATAATATCACAACGCATGTTGCAAGAAGTTGCAGGTTCATGCTACCTGTATCTCGCGAGCGTGCACTGTAAACAAGTTGATAGCATGCGGCCATCTTGCAATACGCACCACAAACGGAAAGAAAATTAACGATTTTGTAGGTATATTTGACATCCGATTATCTAAAAATAAAACACTAAACACCCGTCAGTAATAACTAAATGCAGTCGATGGACAATCAAAATGAACGCAATTTACCGAATTACAAACTCAAAATACAACGATAAAAGCCGTGAGAAACACGTCCAACCCAACTAGACACCGGCACAAAACTGCGGAATCAACGGCGGCATACGGTAATACCTACTGCGCGCACTATTTGCAACAAACAAGGTCGCATGCAAGATAGCCAATTCAAAGAAAAGTGCGTAAGAAAAAAGAATAAAATCAATGAATTGGACACGTTTATTCAAGAGCGAAATTATTGAAATCTAGAAACTGAGTATTACCCAGTTAAACTGGGTTAAGTTGACACATAAATCTTCAATTCATATTGAATTATCAAGCGACTAGTCATAATTTAACCTACTTATCAATTCAAAATTAAAACACGATATTTTATAAACAACCGCTAGGGTACCTATCTGTACTCCAGACATACCGTCGAAAATAAATAAATTAATAATAATATTTATTGTCACCATCAGCGCTAATTTGATTTGAAAAACTATTTGAATGGGCAGTTTCGAGTAAAGTACAATCACTAATCATATCATTATCGGAATGGGTTAACTTCATTTTAGAAACGCGTTAATCGAGTACTTAAACTTTAGTTTAGCTGTTCAAGTGCAAGTAATAATTAATGTGCATGTAATAAAATATATTACTTGGGAGCAACAGGAATGTTGGCACTTTTACGTACTTGTATTTATGCTATATGATACTTAATTCTTAATTATTTGTATTTGGTAGTTGTTGCATTTATTTTAAAGCATTGAAAGATATTATCAAACCTTTTCATTGCTTATATCTGATAATAATCAATAAGAGCTAAATATTTTCTAATTAAATTTATTTTATGCTAACAATATCTATAAATAGAAATATCGCTTGGCCATCACAATTTGTATTAGAAAGTTTTGTACCTGATGATATTTTAATTATAATAGTAATAAAGGAAATTAATGGATACAGACCAAACTATAACCCACTGAAATCGAGTACAGAACATGACATGCGACGTGCCACCAACATGCAAAGTTTTATTTTCGTCCATAAATTTCAAAATAAAATCAAAACGAAGCCGCTGGCGCACGAGCCACGAACGGCCAAGCGAAAACGCGTTGAACTTTGAGACTTTGAGCAGACGCTTTTCAGCGTGCGTACAAATACGAGCTCATCGCGCACTTTTACCACTAACGACGTTCGAACGAATTCAACAGATTCAACACTTTTAATAACGCGCGCTACTGCCGTCCGCGCCGCTTTCCAACTTCCAATATTATTTCATCTCGTCTTCCAAGCACGTTTCCCGCGATCGCGTGGGGCTTGCGGCGCGTTGCGTTGTTTACACCGCTTACATTCGGTTCGGTCGCGAATGCAACCTCGCGGAGTCGCGGCGCATCTCGAATATCTCGATATTCACTCATTACTTACTTTGTTTGTTGCTCACTTATTACTTATTTACTAGATCGCTTAGTTAGTGCGCGTTCAGTACGGCGTTTGCGTTCAGAGTGGTAATACATCGCAGTGTGATAAGTTTGGTTGATTGCGTTACGCGTACGACAAGTCATAATTAGTTCTAGTTTTTGTTGGTTGGCGAAGTTGGCGAATTGTTATCGCGCGTTCCAACAAGTGAGGAAGTTTATGGTGCAACACAACTCACCTCATTTAGACATTTAACATTTCTAGCAAGTTTTTGAAAGTTACACAGAATTTTCCAGCACATAAATATTCAAGTAAGTACTTATATTTAAATAATAGTAGGGGAAAATTTTTAAATAAAGAACCGAACAAAATTATTATCTTAATTTAAGCAAATAAGAATAGTTCAGAAACTTGTATTCTAAAAAAAATTACGTTCACGTCGGCAGTGTCGAGCGCACGAGCTTAAAAAGTTTTTGTTTACCGTTACTATAGCAACGGCGTAGTGTTTAGAACATCTGACTTTAAATATTTCCTTTTCAAGAATATTATTGCCTTGAAACAAATTATTATGTTTTTAGAATTCCCCTCAAATCTATTAAGTAGTATAATATTATTATTATTACTATGTTATTACAAAATAAATACGATTGTTTGTTTTCGCTGAATCCAAGTTTTGAACGAATCGAACCCTTGGACTTACAAAGTTCAGTTCAAATCCATATTTTGAAATTGCAAATCGCTCGCTTATCAGAGGCGCGCCGCCGTTCGAGTGCGGCGTGTGGCTAGCAGTTCGCTGAGATTGGGATGATTAATGATTTTTATTGCTCGTTTTTTCGAGATCTAGTCATGAGGTTAACCCATACTCGTGCGATCACAACTTTCAAACTCAAATAACACAAAATAACTTCAATAATTATGCTACAAACTAAATTAAACGCGTGAAAAATTCATGTTATGATTACATGATACGCAAATAAACTAAACTCACACATATTAAAACTAATATTAAACAAATTCACGTAAGATATATTTGGTTGAATAAATCAAAGTGTAGCGGAAGCATATTTTACGACTGTATAGTCTTCTACTTGTTTTATTAAATTGCTGCACATTTTGCACCAGAGTCAACTCGAAACATGTTTTGTTTGAAATAACACTTGTATCACTTAATTTAAATGATCATGTGCAGTTTAGTGTTCATAAATGGCACCAACTACATGCAATGTGCAAAAACTATTCACTATTCAAGTCAAAAAAGGAAGCAAAACACTTTGCAATTATATAATTATCTATTTGTTTTGTTTTTAGACCAGAAAAGTAGGTTAAAATAGCAAAAAATAAATCTACGTACTTCCAAAGTTCGCTAACAATTATTACGCTGTAATCTATGTGTCAATAACAGAGCAACCATTAATTTTAATTGCCACAGTACGAGTAAAATACATGTTTACAAAGGTATTACAAAGGTTTACATTCGATAGAAGCCGATAACGCTATTCATTAACCTCCGATTTTTGGGGTTTGTACCGGGCAAGGAGCAATTTTAACATGAACAGACTATAGTAACGCATAACAGTTATGCCGTTGGAACTGTTATTACGCAAACATAGTTCTGTTTAACAACAATCAACACGCCGCAAATAAATAGAAGTATATTTCTATGCTCCATCTCATTCATATTGTCACAATATTTGAGTACGTAACATATAACAAGTAGTTAAATATTCCACCATAACAAATAATTGCAATCACAGTTGAATACGTAAATAACTAGTACCTAATTACTAAAGCAAAGTAAACGTACCGATAAAAATTTTCGTAGGCAAATATTAACAACACATTGGCAATATTTAAATTTCGTCTCAAATTTTAATATCAACCTGAATCGGTAAGAATTATTTCCCAGTTGTTATCAGTGTCAATAGTACAAATCGATGATAGTATGATGCATTTTTTTATATTAATCATGATGCGTTGCAAATTTTCGTGATAAGGTCAAACCTTTGGAAGAGAATATAATGATCTAAGTTCTAGTACCTAGGTCGTTAAATATTGTCTGTCATTAAAAAAGTCTAAAATACACCAAGTAGGTATATCGGACGATGAACTGATATAGACAAACAAAAACAATATTACCTGGAATTTTGATCTTTAAACATTGAGTTTGCCCTTAAACTAATATTTATTTATGTTATTTCTCACACTTTTTCATTTTGACACGACAATAATTACCTAATATTATTCTTTGGTTTCAGATTCATCATTTTACTAGTCAATTTTTGCGCTTTAAACTTTAATGTAAATATAAAATTCAAATAAATAATACTTGTGCGTGTTATTCTTGTAAACGATTTAATAAAATTAATAAAATAAAACTTTTATAATGATTTCTAAGATCGCACTTCGATCAACAAGCGCGTCGGCACTTTATAACTACAACTATAAAAACACAATCGTAAACGGCGCGCGACAACTTCACGTGTGGAATAATCGTCAGAATGCATTATTGGCGAACGATAATAAAAGAAATGTGATAACTCAGGTACGCAACGCGAGTGATATCGTGACGTCACCGTTCGCAAACGTAAAAATTCCCCACACCAACTTGGTCGATTACGTTTGGGGCAAAACCGAAGAATTCACCGAGTTGCCTTCTGCGGTAAGTAAACAACCCGCTTAAATGATTCATTATTCTATTTTTTAATAAATATTTGATTGCCAGTACACCAGTACTGAATTTTTGTACTTATAATTTGTTTTGGTTTATGTTAATGTTAGACATGCGGAGTCAGCGGGAGAAGTTACACTTACGGAATGATGCGGATGTTGATAAACCGATGCGCACAAGCCCTTATCGGTCATTGTGGGATGAAATCCGGCGATGTTGTCGGCCTCCTTTTGCCCAACATTCCGGAATATATGATTGTTTGTCACGGTGCCTTCGAGGCCGGCCTCGTTGTTACTTTTGTTAATCCTTTATATACGCCAGGTAATAACTATTATATAATTTTATTTTAGGTTTCGCGTGATTTCACTCACGACACGATCAAACTAATATTAACACTTTGTCGTGTTATTCACCTTCATTTTTTTCCGCGGGCGTCTTTGCGATCACGTAATACCGCAAGTTGTAAGCACCTGCGTGAAAACTTTAGCCTGTGCAAAATTACATTTAACCGATAACATTTTACGAGTATGTCCTCGAGAGGCAGAAAATGAATAAATATTACTCCTATTTTCCTAGATGAAATCAAACGTCAATTTGAAAAGGCTGGCCAATGGATTTTCCTGGAGGGCCAATTTTTTTAGAATGCGGCAGCACCGGGCCACAGACTATGGCCATTCATACATAAAATATTATACATATACAAAAGTTCCAACTTTGGTTTGTGCGGCGGGCAAATTCAAATGTCCTGGCGGGCCACCTCGTGGCCCGCGGGCCTGGGATTGGCCAGCCCTGCTTTAGCCTGTGCAAAATTACATTTAACCGATAACATTTTACGAGTATGTCCTCGAGAGGCAGAAAATGAATAAATATTACTCCTCACATTTCTATTATTATCTATATTTCGTACTTATAACATATTCTAAACAAAAAATATTATTTTCCTAGATGAAATCAAACGTCAATTTGAAAACGCTGGTGTAAAAATGATTATCACAATTGAAATGCTCCTCGATGTTGCAAATACCGTCGGTCCCCAACTACCGGGATACCGTACCACAATTTGCGTAGGCGGAGAAGACGATCCTAGCAAAAATATTCACGGTTTACAAAGTCTACTCATGGGCGGATATGAAGCTGAACTGCCCGGAATTAATCCGATGGAAACATGCCTGCTTCCGTACTCAAGTGGAACTACCGGATTACCAAAAGGTGTAATGTTGTCACACTATAATCTCGTTTCGAACTTGGTGCAAGGTGACATTCCGCCGATAATGGAAAAGGTTGAGCCAGGTAACTTTCACTTACTTTATACCGAATAATAATTGAATTTATACTTATTATTATTTATATACTTACTTATATTTATTTTCCCGATTTTAATTTACAGAAAATCAAGACAAAGTACTCACTGTTTTACCATTCTTCCATATTTATGGTTTCAACGGTATTATGAATGTCGCTGTTATGAAGGGTCTGCACTTAATTACTTTACCAAAATTCACACCAGAAGATTATATTAAAGCTCTAGTGGAGCATCGACCCACTTACCTATTTGTTGTGCCTTCGTTAATGCTGTTTTTGGCTTCGCATCCGGCTGTAACTAGAGATCATCTGAGTTCTATTAAAAATGTTACCTCGGGTGCGGCGCCAGCCACCGAGGGCTTGATTGCTAAGTTTCGCGAGAAGGTTGGACGTGAAGATATCCATATTAGACAAGGTAAATTTAAGAGAAGTGAAATTATGTATATAAATTATTAATAATACCATATTATAGGCTATGGAATGACTGAAAGTTCTCCGGTGTCAATTTTCATGCCGCTTATGACTCCCAGATCAAAAATTAACACCGTGGGTGTTTTATATCCCAACACAGAGGCGAAAATTATTAGTTTAACAACTGGCGAAGCGCAAGGAACACATAAATCTGGCGAATTGTTGATTAGGGGACCACAGGTATATTGTAATTTTAGATTCATACAACAATTTTTTAGAAACCATTATTTTTAACCCGCTTCTCACGTAGTAATAATTATTTGCATTTTTACTATTTAAAACAAGATAAAATACCTATATATAATTTAGTTTGCTCATATTTCATTCATGAATTTTTTTATCTTATCAACACGTGCAAGAAGTCTCGCGAAAGTTGCATGTTTAATGAATGTGACAACCAAGATTAATGCTGAATGTACTTACATGTGCATAGGTGATGGGTGGGTACCTCAACAATGAGAAAGCGACGGCCGAGACGCTCGATGAGGACGGATGGCTGCATACGGGCGACGTTGCTTACTACGACGAAGATAACTACTTCTACATCGTCGACAGATGCAAGGAACTTATCAAAGTCAAAGGAAATCAGGTGAGTCACCTTTTGACTTATTATTTGACCTACTAACAGAAAAAAAAACAGTCTATAAAAGCCAGAAAGTTTACATTTAAATCTAGTCTATCTCAGTTTCTTTAGTTGAGGACATATATGATCAAAGTAATTTCATATTCGTTTCTTTATTATGATATACAGATGTACTGATCACTTAGAAATGTTTGTATACAATGCTTCGTAAAAAATGTCTCATGTTCAATTTTGCGGTTTGCAAATGCGGAAACGCAGCTTTCATGGTAAAGTATCCAATATAAAAATAACAATCGGGTAGTGTAGAGATAAAAACACTTAACGCTCGAACAGAAACTGTGAAAACTTGACATGGCGACACTTTGCATCCATTGAAGGCAGAGTCCAGCGTACGTGTATTTTTATTTAAGTTAATCACGCTATAAAGAAATATAAATACTGCATGTTTGTGTTCCGAATTGGCCGATATTTGTTTATGTGTGAAACCAAACCAATTCAGTGCTCAAATCAAATCAATAACAGGCACTTTCAAGTATTCGTTCGAATCTCGCAGTGATGCCATTCGTTTTATATAAAAATATTAAACTAATTTTAAGAACCTAACGACATCTCTTAAGAACATATACGTCGTGACAAACTCAGGCGGAAATCAAATCAACTGAAGAACATCCAATTACACTGATTATAATTTCTAGTTTAGTCCGTATTTCTCGATCTAGCTATTGGTAGTAGGTTGATGTTGAGTGTGAGATGCTTGTGTGACCCACCGTCTGTACAAAATCAGACATTTCGGGAAGTTGTGTGAGCGATGCTGTGACTGCCGATGGAACCAGCAATCAGCCCTAACTTACGCTACAATCAATTTAAATTTTCTTTTTGTCTTTCACTGTTTTCCTGTTCTAAACCGAAGATAATAATCAATTATTCGAGTCGGCTGAATCGGTAGAATCATTCGGCGCGTCTTCAACACACGGCAATTCTGGTGTATCCACCTCCATAGCTGTTTCCAAGTTTGTAGACAAAGTTGAATCCACGACCGGCAATACATCATCAACAACTTCAGGAATTATATCAGGCTGCACCATTGTTTCAAGCGCTTTCTGTTCGTTCGAAATATGAATTGATGAATTTTCTTCTGCTGGTTCTACGAGAGCATCTTCTTGTGTTTCGACGATAGGCGGAGAAATAGATGGCGCACTTTGTTCCGATGTGTGGGGAACGTCATCGACTAAATTGTCCATGTCGATGGGTTCCCTACATTCGGTTGGTTCATCTCCAATCACCGCTTCTTGCGGTTCTAATAGTGTGTCGGTTTGTGGAATATCGATTGGCGTTTCGGCCTGAGGTAGAGTAATTTGTGTGTGGTCTTGATTTTCGCGATGAATTTCAACTTGCTCTGGATCAGTTTCTTGTTCTTGCATTGGCATCACAGATTCCTGCATAGGTTGGGTAACTTCCTCGGGTATGTCAACGGGTAATGGAAGTTCATCTGGCTTGGTACTGGCAAAGCTGGTAACGTCAATTTCGGCCTGTTCAGATAATTCAATGTTTTCCGGATCTCTAGGTGATTCAATGACTGTGTGCAAACCAGCATCACCAGCAGCTGCCATGTCTAAGGTAGGAATTTCTGGAATATGAGGTTCTTCTTTGGGTTCTTCAGGCAAAATGTCTTTGACTGAGTCACCACCATGTGGTAAATGCTCACTTTCTGGAAGGTCAAGAGAGATCTCAGGTTTGTCCAGTTGAATTTCACTTTCTGGACAAGTTAGTGGTTGATTTGTTTCTTCTATTGGCTATAAAACAAACAAAAACACAAATTAGTCATTTAAAATGTTTATATTAGACTGTAATTTACCATGGATGGTTGGGTTTCATCAGTCTGTTCACTTGGTGGTTCTATGCTTGTCCTTCTTCTCTGTACAACAGCTGGAACAGCCTCAGTGTTCTCTTCATTGGCAACTTGCAGTTCAGTTTCAGATTTCTCCTCATCAACAGCAGGATTAACTTCACTTTCAGCTGAGTTTATTGCAATTGGTACAAAAGTTTGATCTTCTGATGGAGAGCAAATGACAGTCTCTAGGGTTTGACTGGTGGCAGCTTCAGGTTCAATATTATTATCCCTCACATTGTACATCTTGTCCACCATTGAGGGATCTTCTTTTGATGTGCTCTGATATGAATCTTCATTTTTCACTGGCCAAATGGGTGCATCATCCATTTCCTCAATGTTGATATCATGTGATCCATCCTGGACATGATCTGATTCAATGCCATTGATGAAACCATCACCATTCTCAGGTGTTCTGTGATTGCCAGGCTCTGTTGTGCTCACCACCAGAATGTTTTTCTCAAGTGCGCGCATATACTTATCTATTCTATTGTATTCCTTACGCGGAGTGGTCAGCAGTTCACAAATTCTTTGCACGGTGAATGGTGCCGCCACAAACGTATCCAACTTCTCAAGAATGAATGTCTTCATGGTGTCATAGTTGAAGATATCCACATTACGGCAGGACGGTATGCTCACCGACGGGCACGACTCGTAAAACTCGGTGATCACGTTGATAAGCTTCTCACGAAAGAGGCACTTGATCACTGACCACTGATAGACCGGGTCGCCAGTCTTAGCAACGAAACAGAGGTACTCTTCCAGTTCGCGCGGGATGCTTTTCGGTCGAAGCTTCGAGAACTCCTCGAGGCTGTGCAGGATTTCTTCGGGATTCTCCATGACCTCGGCACGTCACACTAACTCGCGAATATCGCACGTGATTCGAATACGCCGGATCACACCGAGCTTTCTAACCGAACTTTGATTTGATCGAGCGGCGAAGCGCGACAAGCAAGAAAACACAAGCGACAAAAAGATGACCTTAGAGCGCGTCAAACATGGTGACAAGCACTGTTACCTTGAGCGCGCGCGTAGAAGCAAAATTCCTATACGAGCGCATGCGCACAAGGCAGTTGCGTAACGCGGGCACGAGTCTACATTTGAACGCCGGCACGAGCTTATCGACAATAATAATAACGCAATTCCAAAGTTTAACATTGCAATCAATTCAAACCGTTAAACTACTTACTATGAATTATTCCAGACCAAACTGTTTAAATACTAGTAACTACTAGTAAAATTTGTTTATGACGCTATTTTCTTGTTGAATTTTTCAGGTATCGCCTACTGAATTAGAAAACCTCATCTTGGAAATTCCCGGCGTGGCTGACGTCGCCGTCGTTGGCATTCCAGACACGCTCGCTGGAGAATTACCGCGTGCATTCATTGTGGTCAAGCCCGGCGCCAAGCTAGCCGAGGAAGATATCACGCAGTATGTCAACCCCAAGGTTACTCACTACAAGAAACTCGCCGGCGGCGTGCGATTCATCGAGACTATTCCGCGTAACCCGAACGGCAAGATACTGAGGAACGAACTTAAGCTGCGCTCCTAATTCTAAAGCTTTATTTATTTATATGTCGGCCATGTTATTTTTCACCGTGTAAATACTGTTGCAAGATCAGAGAACATTTATAATACGGTAGCTCACTTTATATTTTTATAATTTTATCGAATAATTTGTTATATAAAATTGTTATTTTTCTTGTTGATAATTATAATAAAATATAAGTTTTAAATTAGTAATTTATCGCCTGAATAATATTTCACACTTTTATTTTATGCGTTTAAAATAATTCTACTGGCTTCAAAGTATCACGACGACTTTTTTCGTCTCTGCTTATCAGTCTAGATTTGTTTATCGGTTCGATCCACGCGCTGAAACTCGAACGATCTGCATGTTAGGAATTTGTTTCGTTCATGGTACCGCCAGCGCCATCTCGCGGATATTAAAGAAATTACACATGTCAACACTGTGGAGCAACTTTGTAGATATTTATACACAGTTTATATTAGCATGATCTGTAAATAGCAATTGAAATCGAAATCCAAAAATTAATTTTAGAAGAATTTAAAAAAAAAATGAGTATTTGAAATTATTTTTGTAACCACCTGAATCACTGCCATAAAATCATTATACAAAATTTAATGGAAAGAAATACTTCACTAATACACCACTACGCTCACACTGTCACGGTTGACCTTTTTTGCTTAACACCTCACCTGAGGTTTGTTTATCACTTCGGTCAGCGGCGTAGCGTGCCTTGTCGGGGCCCCGTATAAAAATTTTTTTGGAGGCCCTCATATGGAGGTAAAGGTTTTTCCTTACACACTTTGGGGGCCCCCGTGGCCCGGGGGCCCCGTATAATTGATACGGCAAATACGGCGGTAGCTACGCCCCTGACTTCGGTTCACACACTGAACATGTTCCAACTTGTCTCGTCTGAATTTATTTCTCGCACGGTACACATTCTACCATCTACCGGCAAATAAAATAATTTCATATGTCAATATGACAAACCCAGCTGTTTGTGTGCATTTGTTTGCATTCAGTCTACGTCGTTTACTTTGACTTTCAGGCAACAAAAGTTCATGCAATCAACTTAATTGCGCTTAATTAAACACTGCACACAATTGCAGCAAAAGCAAACTGAACTTTCGAGTGGTCAGATTATCCCTTATCCGACCATTATCAACAACGAACAGCAGTAATCCTGCGCCACGAGCAAAAATGTAAACCTCAGTATCGTCGCGATGATGTTCGAGTGTTGTGTGAACTGTCTGGCGCGATGGAAACTCTGGATCCGTCCGCTGGCAATCTTACTCTACGCTTTGGCTGCACTAGTTTTTGTGCCGTTTTTTCTAGCCAAATCAATTCGCAATGGCTTCAATCGTCGCGATCAAGAAATACTTATTGCAGGTGTTTTTGCTTGGGTTGCAGTGCCACTTTCTCTTTGGGGAATCATTCTGCATGTGATTAATTACACCCAGCCAAAGTTACAAAAACATATCATCAGGTAACAAGAAAATCTATAATGAAATAATTAATATTTTACTAAATATTGTTGAATTGATTGCAGAATATTATGGATGGTGCCAATATATGCAATAAATGCAGTAAGTGATGCAATATTTGAAGAATTTCAATCTTTTGTAAACATGTTTTGAACGATTTTATTTCATTTGCTTGTATTTCTACTGATTGCAGTGGATTGGACTACTTTATCCAAAACATTCAACCTATGTTGATAGTGCAAGAGAATGTTATGAAGCATATGTGATTTACAACTTCATGAAATTCTTACTGAACTATCTAAACATGGAAATGGATCTTGAGTTCAGTTTAGAAGTGAAACCACAGGTGAAACACATTTTTCCATTGTGTTGTCTGCCTGATTGGGCAATGGGCAGTGAGTTTGTGCACATTTGTAAGCATGGAATTCTTCAGTACACTGTTGTGAGGCCTTTTACAACTGCAATCTCATTGTAAGTAAATTTGACTAAAATTTTTAATTAAATATTCATATTATATTGATTTATTCTTTGCAGTATTTGTAAAATTTATGGAGTTTATGGCGACGGTGAGTTTCGTGGGGATGTAGCATTCCCATATTTAGTGTTCATAAATAATTTGTCCCAATTTGTGGCAATGTATTGTCTTGTGATGTTCTACAAGGCGAGTTTGGCTGAATTGAAACCCATGCGGCCATTACCTAAGTTTTTATGCATCAAGGCTGTGGTGTTCTTTTCATTCTTGTAAGTGATAACCAAAAATATGTACTTTATAAATATTTACTAATTATTTATTAATTCTTTTAGTCAAGGCGTATTAATAGCGTTACTAGTCTATTTAGAAGTGATCAAAGCGAATAAATCAAACGATGAAGATGGTTCAACAATATCATCACGCCTACAAAACTTTTTAATTTGTATCGAGATGTGCATGGCGGCCATTGCACATCACTATTCTTTCTCGTACAAACCGTACGTTCGTCCAGGTTATCAGTCACAGAGTTGTTGCAGTGCGTTTTTGGCCATGTGGGATATTTCTGATGTTCAGCATGATATAACTGAACACTTAGGAATTGTTGGAAGTTCAATTTCGAGGCGAATAAGAGGTAGAAGTATGTACACGTTGACACGTGGCAGCGACGAGTATTCTAACCTTGTTGGGCGACAAGCGTCTAGCGCGCCATCTAACGGATTATATCAAAACGACACCGATCCTCTTCTTACTTATGGCACTATCGATGTGAAAACCGAAGCAAACGATCACGTATTTGTGCCTGACAATGAAATCTACACGAATGTGGAGAAGGATCCGATTGCGAGATCGTAAAGATTTCAATCAAACTAATCAGATTTCAAAAAGGAATACATCATTGTTCATCAAATAATGGAAAAGGCTGTTTGAATTTTTAATGTGCTTATTTATCTACTAGTTACTAGCATATTTAGTTTGTAATAAATTTTAAAGTTTCCTTGAAACTACAAATGAACAACCTAGTTGGGAAGCAAATCTAATGGTATTACATACATATATTAATTGTGATAAGACTACAAATGTTTACCAAAGTGTGAGTTTTATAAATTTTTCTTAGGTGTATTGTGTTTATGAACAATGCAAGACAGCTGTTGGATAACTATCACTTATAAAGACTTGTTTAGATCTAGATTTATATTTATATACATATTTTATGTTTGCTTTAAGTTTACAACTAGTGTAATCAATATTAATTAGGAAGTAGAAATGTAAAAAGCTAAAAATGTCAAATAATGAAATTTTGTATTTCGGAATTTACATTGATCAATCAATGCAGTCAAAATAAGTAACTTTGTGATGTGTAAACTAAACAATAAGAACAAATTATTCTCGCTTTTTGTGAACGCCGAGTGATTGGTTGAATAAAATAATAAATTCAAGTATTTACCTTTATTGACATTTTTTGTTGTCAGCTGATGAGAGAAGCGGGATTTATTCTCTGCACGTGGTATACAATGTTTCTTTGCATTCTTGATTTCAGGAAGCACTATGATAAACAAACATTCAACTCAAAATCGTTCGTTGCGTTAACGTTTCACAGAAAACTTATCTTTTAACCTAATGCTCATCGCGCATGCTCTGAATCTGTAATACGTGAAAATCTGTAAACATGTAATGTTGCAGATGACGCTGATGTTCCAGTGAATATTTTTGATTTGTTACGTTGCGTAATGATTAAAAATTAATCAAAATTCAACGAAATCTTTCAAACATTTCTACTGTTACATGTTTTTGGATGCTACACCTGTTCTTTCGTTAAAAATAATGAAGTTTCTCTTGTAGATAATCGTTTAAAAGCTAATTTCATTGAACTCTTCGTAATAAATAAACACCAACCGCAACACAATATTTTATCCTTTCTGGTATTTACGATTTTCTTTGACACAAAATAAATAGTTATTTTAGTTATTATTATAAGCGATTACAAGTCATTGGAAATGCCAGTCGATCAGCATCAGGCACCATGGAACAATAAAATATTTCTCAGCAAACAAACAAACATTCTCTACAAACAACTGACGACACAGTTTGATGTCTGTCTTCTTGCGATTAATATTGATTTATTTAAATAATCATCCACCACGTAGTTATTCATCAAAGGCATGGCTAGAGTAAAATATTTTAAACTAATTCTATTTTAAAACTTTAATGTGAATACTTAAATGTAAAAAAATCAGAAAACTATTTCTCTCATTTGTAATAGAAACAATAAAACAAGACAAATAAAAGACAATATTCTCTGTTAGCTTTGCTCGGTTAGGTAAAGATCCATATAATAAATCAACATCACCTCGATGCACTGATCTCGCGCGCACATTCATTTATCATATTTATTTTTCTTTCGATATCAGATTGATTGATCAGGCAAATATGTCGCTGGTTGGCGACCGTGTTATCACTGATATCACCTCGAGGCTGTGCCGATAGATTATCGGATATATAGCTGGAAAGATATTGCCGAACGCAGTGGTCGGATCGATTTGTTTCATGATCGGTGGCTGCCGGGACATCAGTTAATAACAATTTCCACAAATCTAATACAACATCAATCAAAATCTTACCAAAATCAAACTAACAATAAACATTTCAACAGTTCCAATAATAACACAGTTAATAACAACCTAATTGGTTAAAATACTTAAAATAGTTTTAAAACATGTCCAACTCTGTTAGCACTGGATACGAAGAGGTTTACGACAGCACGTGGCACATCATTCCACCAGATTACGTTAACATGGACGACGACTATCGTTACCAGTAAGTTTTCATTAAAAATTTACTGTTTAATAACAAGAAACACATTTTATTGTCACAAGAGTTGTGACAGGGACCATCTGGTGCATTTCTCGATAGACCCACCTGAAATTTATTGCGACAAATTAAATTTAACACTTGTTGGGCACTTGTTTCATCGCCGGCATTGTGATGTATTTCAGAGAGGGTGTAAATACGTTAAAATATGCGTGAGCATGAGTCTCTCCACCGTTATTTAACAGCAGATACACACAATAATCGCGGTAATCGCATTTGCGCCGATTGTTACAACTTCGACCCACCTGATCACCGTTCTGGGTGATCACAGGAGCGAAACGCCGGCCATCTTAGAAGCACTACGAAAATGTTTGGGTTTTTCCGTGTTGTATAACGTTTAGCGTCACTGCGGGGTTAGAAGCGCAGATTTATTATTATATTGATCTCTGTCCACACAATTGCATTGTATATTCAAATTGTATAAATTTGGGCAGGTTGTGCAGGTATTTTCAAAAGTAATAAGATAAAAGGTATGAAAATAGTGATATAAAACTTAATTTTCAAGTTTTACATTAGAGTTACTCAGATTAGCATCGCAAAAGTTTAATTTTTAAATCTTTTAAACGTTTCCTTTGAGTTTCTGCGTTTGAATCATGTAAAAATTAACAGAAGCGGATATACAACTTAGATTTCCTTTTTTCGTTTTCTTTTGGTCTGAACCGCTTGGCCATGAATGAAATCAAACGCGTAAATCTACCATCTACGACAACAGGGGTGGTCCCATCTTGTGTTGCGCGTCTAGCATCCGAAAACGGCGCAATCACCGCCGTGTGAAGCGTCCAAACACATCCACGAACAAACATACTCATGATAGGCACAAATACAAGCAAACATGCGGTGGTATCTACCTATCGTCCATCTCCGACGACTTGCAATGCAAGAAACGCGCCGCGTCGGTGCCGAAAAGTCTACCGGTTCACGTCTACCTGCTTGTGTGGATCGCAGGTGCTTCTTCTTCATCCACACAATGTTCACACCACGCTTTGACTGTGTGCAACGTCGGTACGACTTCCTATCAGATTCTGATCAAACAAACTACAAAACGGCAATAAAAGGTGACGAAATTAACACTTCTCACGCACGCCGAGCTTTGGGTAAACTCGGGATAAAAAATGAAATGCACGAGAACGATTCAATTTCGAATGCGTGCGCAAACACGCGGGCGGGCTGAGATTCTTCGTGTTAAGATAAAGATAAACATGCCGAGGTGTAAGGAGGCATTGTCATACGTTGAGATCCGGTCAGATATGACTCTGGCGGTGTTTTTGTACATTTCTTTAAAATCATCTGTAAATAAACTTATTTAGGAGAAAATTTATCAAATAATTTTAATAAATGAATATTTTTAGACTTTTTGCCGAAATAACTTCCGACAAACAAGTGTAACACAATTAGACTTAAATAAAAAAAATGTTACCGGTCGCAATCTTGTAAAATTGACCGAAAAGTTTTTTCTGGAAACATGAATGAACTACGTGACTCAGACAAAGTGTCAGTGCCAATGTAAGATGGTTCCCACATCAAGAAAATACTACGAGTAGTTTTGTAGTAAAATACTTCTAGGTGTATAAATGTACTAGAAATAGGAAGAAGGGCACATTGAAGTGATGTCCGGCGGAAAAGGCGATACCACGGTCGATTTAACGCTTTGTTAACGCGGCAGGTAACCGCGGGGGTTGCGCTGTTGATTTTTTCATACATTGCCTTTTAGCATCACATTCATATCACTAACAGAGGTGTATTTCTATTTTTTAGTCTTAAAAAATTTAGGTTATAATTTTTACAGGTTAGGTTATGTTCACAGTTGTATAGGTATACAGATCAATTTGTTTTTTTAATGAAAATTTAAAATTTTATATCAAAAGTTAAAAGGGACCAAATCACGCCTTGCGTAAATCTTCAGTGAGATTAACTTCGGATTGCTTATATCGGTAGCTTAAGTAGAAAGGGTAAATACCGCCTTTGTTTGCCGGCTTGCGCGACTTAGAAGGCGGCGTAATCAGTAATAGCTTTAATAGACCGGCTACCGATTTTCTTAAGGGAAATTCCCGCATTCCACAACGCTGCCGACGGTAGCACCTAATGAGATAACATAAACGACTGAATTTTCCAGATCAGAAATTCATAGAAGCATGAAAAATTAACTTCGTGTTTGGAAAAACCAAGAATTTAATTTAAAAATCTAAAAAATCGTTATTTTTTAATGCGGGACTGTATTTCGTATATTTTTAAGAGATGTTAAAAGAGAAGAAGGTAGAGGACCGCCGGAAGTAGTGCTTAGGGATCAACAATGTCATACAAATACGGATACTTTACACTTTACTCGTACATCAACTGCTTTCTAAAAAGCGAGTTTTCTGCTATTGTAATGCTCAAAAAGTCACTTCTAGAGGTGTTTTGGGGTTGTGACATTCTATTTTGAAAGAATTAATACAACAATAGCGTTATTCTAACAAAATATTTAATTTGTTTCAGACCTACGCTGAATTACAGCTATGAACATGGAGACTCGAACTACTACCGAAACGAACTTCAATACACGTAAGTAAAACCAATCAAAAAATCAAATCTTAATCAATCAATTAAATCGAGTTAAAAATAAAAATACAACGCATTAATTTCTTTTCGTTATCGCCAAATTGATATCATTGTCATCTTCTCAAATCTTCCCCGATCAAAATTTTAATTTTATTTTAAAATTGATAAAAAACAATGATTCATATTGTTACACTCGTTATCTATGATTTTATAAAATGTGGACGTGATCTTGTAAAGGTGTCGGTTTTAAATAATAGCTAACTTTGTAGTTGGTTGAGTTTAGTTTAATAGGGGTTTCGATTGTATAATAAAAAAAGCTGTTGCATTATAGTTGTATTTGTATGGGCGCGTAAAAAACGGGGCCAGGGTGTGTTCGGGCTTTTGTTGCGCACAATGCGTTGCGTGCGAGCTTGTAGTGGTCATCAAGGCACATGAGAGCACTCATGCCTACTATAAGTGCATGCCCTCAACCAATCCGCGTTCTACACCCCCGCGCATGTTTAGACTGTGACTGAATATCAAGTTTCCAAACTGAAACCAAAAAAAAAAAATTTTAAAAGAATTAAACAGAAAAACTCAAAAAGATATAATTATATTACAATAGAATATAATTTTATAAATAGGTTTAAATTGAGGTTATGTAACTTTTAAACTTCAAAATTTTGTTTTTTGGCATTTTTGAGTTGTGATGTTTAAATATGAGGTGAATATATTTGTAGATTCATTTGCATATTGCATGTTTATTTAATTCTCGAATAAATATCATTGAAGTGTTGCCCGAAGTGGGTTCTTCATGTTCTTTTTGTCCGCGCGCGCCCCCGGAATAAAATACGCTCACATTCTGATGTCGAGCGCACCGGTCGATACTCTTTGCAAAGAAAGTTGGGATTGGCCAAAGCGGCATCCACCCCTCGGCGCTGGGCGTCGATTGGTCGGCGCGTGGAGAGCCGCGCTCAAGAGTGCCATCGAGTGAAGAACCACTCTTTAGCGCTCTTCAGTGGTCCTCCAGAAGGCCTCAAGTACATTCGCGTGTCCCGCCACTTTAAAGCGCGCTGGCATTCTTCCGGCACACGGTGTACGTTCCTCCAAGTCAGCATCAGTTCTTCATCGTCAACCCTGGCATAAACACTCTAAAAACATTTTTAAAACAAAACTTGTGTTCCTAAATTTTGGAAAATTGTGTTGATCACATTGTGTGTGTGTTTTGGTGAATTATTTCTTGTGAAATTGTCAAAGTGGCTGAAGATCGAGAATCTCCGAAGATGGCCCCGCAGGCCGAGGCAGGAGCATCACCACAGCCGCCGTCGACACCGCCGCCGACGGTCGGCGGTCGTGCGATTAGTATAACTAATAGTCCAGTTGCACCACCGCCACCGCCGCCGTTTCTGGCATGGCCACCGTTACTTTTACATCCTTGGGCACCACTGCTCCCTGGAGCGTGGTGTCAATCAGCCGCCTCTGCCGCAATCAGATCTGCTTTACCTGGGTTAGTTTTTCTTTAATCATCATTCGAAAAAAATCGAAAAATATTCATTGTCAAGTCACGTACAAGTTGTATAAAAAGGATTTCGTCAAGAATGCATGAAGTCAACCTGTCCCTTAAAGGTTCAATTACTGGAATTGCGCGAATAATCAAAGACCCGCATTTTACAACATCGGGGGTGGTTTGTTTTCAATGTGACACTTGTTTCCGTACGTGACTTTTCCTCACTTTTCGAGATTTACCTTCACTTGTAAACAGCTTTTACGGTTATTAACGTAGACCTCAATAAAGTACCTACTACTACCCACCTTGAGAAGGTGAATATTTCATTGATATCCAACACCCGTCGGATGACGACCAACTCACGAAACAATTTTTTACATTTTAGAATATTTATTTTAGAAAAAATTAATTTTGTGTTTTGGATTGTTATCGGATTATAATAGATTAATTTTTGTTACAGTTTGTTAGATAGCATGAAAGCGACGACCGCTGGACATCAAAGACAACCGGCGGGTTTCGCAATTAGCGATATCCTCGACCTTAACGACAGATCAACGGAATCCGGATTGGAATCGCCGTCGGATCGTAGCATCTACCAACACCCGCAAGACCTCACCTCTGGTCAAACTTTAATTCCACCTCCAAGTAGACATTGGGCACTACCTTCAGAATTAGGTAAGTTCAAAGTGTAAAATTTCTTCAAAAACAGTAAAAAATCAAAACTTACGTGATTGTTTCGCGCCGGTACTAGAAATATATTCGGAGGGTTTAAACGAGCCGAAAATCACCGTTGCGAATTTATTGCCAGAGGGTGTGACGCTATTTAGTTGTCATTTGTGGGGTCGCAATCGGTAATAGACTTCCTCGGCGCGTTCCGGGCCTATCACATCACACGCGAAGAGGGTTCACGCCTCGACAGCTGCTCGAACTTTTGACACCTCTGCCGATGTTCAAACCACCGCAGAACAAGCGCAGTCATTTTTCACTTTCCGCCATTTCACCTTTGTTCCAAATGGTAACAATGCAACAATATCGCTGGTTACGCAACCGGCAGACAATAGCCTTGATCCCTCCTCGAACCGCGAAGGGATGATAATGTAACCTATGCAAACGTATTGCTTTCCGCGCACAAAAGCCCCTAACTAAATCATCAACTAAAAGTGATAGATTAAAGGGAGCTTTGGTTGGGTTTGGACTAATAAGGGTGGCGTGTTGGCTTCACTCCGCCGGAACATGGTTCGGCCATCAACTTCGTATTAAGGTGCAAAAAATAAACGAACCCGTAAAAACCGGTAGACGATAAATCAATGACTACTACCCGCCCGTAACACGTCAATATTGAAACGGTTAGGGATAGAATGAAGGAAAGTCAATTTCCTTCGCTTCTAAGCGAGAATAATCGATACCCAATGCGTTTAGTGTTTTTAGTGTTTAACGAGCAGTCTAATAAAAGACGAATCAATTTGTCTTCCATCTCTTCCATCAATATTTGTTTTATCGTACCAACAATTTGTCTAACCTTCGAAACCTTTTCCTTCCAGCACTAGCGCATCACAATCAACAGCTCAGCCCGGATAGCACCAGCCCATCGATATCGGAACGCTCTACGACGTTACCGGAAGTCCCGGCCGGAAGTCACTCTGACCCGGGCACGCATACCGGCGACGAGGAAATCGAAGAGGACGACGAGGACGATCGCGGTCAGGGGAGTCAAGCTGCAGGACACAAAAAACGTAAACGTAGAGTGTTATTCTCCAAAGCTCAGACTTTTGAGTTGGAGAGACGTTTCCGCCAACAACGATATCTATCCGCGCCGGAACGAGAACATCTCGCGTCCCTCATCCGCCTCACACCAACACAGGTGAAGATCTGGTTCCAGAACCATCGCTACAAGACAAAACGTGCTCAACATGAAAAAGGTCTTCATGAACAGCAATCGGGTGGGCATCTACCATCACCCCGACGGGTGGCTGTACCAGTGTTAGTACGAGATGGTAAACCATGTTTAGGAGGTGGTCCTAAACCCGGGGACCATTTACCTGGCACCCATATGATTCTACCTTCGTATGCGCATCCGCTGATGCATACACAACCACCGCGTGCATGGTGGTAAGCCTAAAGTCACACAAATCGAACCCCGCAATACTGTACTAACCGATAAACGTGTAAATATCGCAGGCGGACTTTAACGTTACAATTGAGAATTATAAATACGTAGATATCCGGGAATTGTATATTGTTTCGAGATCGCTGGCCAGTCAAAAGGAGCGAAATGTGATTTTCTAAATCTATATAATATATAGAGTGTTTATTATTTCCTTGCTGTAATATAATTGTTATTTAGTTTTTTAGTGCATATGTAATATTATTGTCATTATTTTCGTGCCGGATAATGTAATGATTACCTAATTCGTATTAAGGCGGTACATGGTTTCTTAATTAGATTGTGCGTTTGTAACCTTGTCAGTTTTATGATTGAGGTGTGATTTTATCGGGTAAAAAGTCAGATGTTGTGAAAACTCATCAAATATTACGTATATAGGTACATGTTGCTATAAAACTCATACGGGAACCAAATAAGTACTAAACACACAGACAGCCAAGCGTTCGTTATCAGGTGAGGTGTTTTTTGTCGAGCTGCACCTGATTTTACGATAATTGGGTGCTTGCTACCAAAACTCACACTCATATAGACACCTACATTAGACACAACGACATCTATTCAATATCAATTTTTGTGAACATGTAATGATACTTGCGTTTCACAGCTGGTTGTAACTAAAAATTGTGAAAATAATGCAAATAATCTGTACAAATTTAATTTATTTCAACGAAATATAAAGATTATATCAGAATATTTCATATTTTTATTTGTGTTTACACATAACCTCAATTATACTCCCTGATTATAGGTTATAAATAATTGCAGTGAAGGTAGACAACCAAAAATAAATTTTTAATGGTGTGGTTATGTTTTTAGGGTAAATAAATTTTAAAAAAAATGCAATTAACTTATATTGTTCCACTCTTTTCTATCTGCAGCAATCCCAACAGTGAAAACTAAACGCATAACTCGATTACTCAATTATTAACGACTGCAGCGCACAAAAGCAAAATTAATGCATATCTTAAATGTTCTAAAGCGTTTTACCTACGCCTGCCTCATAACTAAACGTTGAGTGTTGAGTAATCTTCCCTTTCGCATTGTGTGTGTTTTCTTTTCGAGTGTGGGACACCGATTGATTGCTCTTTTTTGTTATCCCGGTGTCCTTGTATGCTTTTGTTGCTTTGTTTGTTTCTTGAAGAAAACTTTTATTCATTAATACATTATTAAGCTATATTCAGACTGATTTTCATATGATTTATTTGTTTTATTTGCATTTTTTCGTGATGATTATTCCGTGTCATTTATTACGAGATCAACGAGTAAATAACAATAATTTAGTAATGTTTTCAGGTGTATTCATCTAGTTTGCAGTTGTGATAATGCATAATAACTCGTTATACCTACAATTAAAGGCAATACATTAGTATGTCATATTTTGCCTTTTTTCTCGCCTGGCATGAATGAAAGCTGAGATGCTGGACGCGCTGGACGAGCCAAACGAGATGTTTTATCCTCGACGCTTTTATTCCGCCGCGCACGATGACCACACATCACAAACGCTTTTCGTTTAGCACTGACACATTGGCTGCGGTGTTGGTGTTTCATGGAAACACGTTGAAAGCTCTACGCCGTCATTAGCGCGCTCGCCTTTTGATTGATATCAGTCATTCATTCGACTGTCGTTAAAACGGATTTTAAACATTTTCGAAGACACTCGCTGAAATTAATCATCGCGTGCTAGACAAAAGCACGACGTCGTGTGGGATTTAGATTTCATCATAATCTAAGACTAAATAAAACATACAAATGACAATTTGATTTCATTCTAGGTTGAAATGTAAAATATAAATCAAAATTTTAAAATCAAATCAAAGGTGCACACGCGGGACACGTCGTGATACATGAGATGTGAAGGTTCACAAATTAAATGTATATTTATGTCAAATTTAGACACTAATTGCTTGGCAACAAGCATCTGTGTGCCTACATACGCGTGATTGCCAGTGCGAAAAATGTTTAATCGATAACGGCCTGATAATATCGCATGTATGCTTCGTTTTATAACTCTAGCAATAATCTATTAATAAATTTATTGATATTATCGAAACGCCACTCGCTATTAGCGTGTCTTTATTTCCTCATGACAGAATCATCAATATTAATTAATGTATTAGTATACAATAGTTCTATTTTAACATAGTATGTTAAACATACTAATGTTCAAAAGTATTATTTTTACATTTTTGATGAAAATCCTCAAATAAAAAGCTAAATCAAACCTAAAATGTAGAGACCGACCGAAATTTCGGTTTCGGTTTCGGCCAATATTGGCCAAGAATTCGAGTTTCGGCTTCAGTTTCGGTTTCGGCCAAAATGGCCGAAACTTTCGGCCGCACCGAAACTCACATTTCGTGAATTGTCGTGCGTCGCTCGGCTAACTTCGCGGCTAATGGCGGTCGTTACTTAGTTCGCTCATATTAATACTACATTAAGTATCAAGTGACTAAACGAGGACTCCCGAAATGGATTATGTATCTAAAAAACGTGGAAAAACTGGCGATGTGTAGGTAAAAGTAGAAAAATATGTTTATGTAAATTAGTTTCGGTTTCGATTTCGGTTTCGGTCGAAACTGATTGCAAGGCCGAAATTTCGGTTTCGGTTTCGGTTTCGGCTAAAATTCACTTTCGGTCGGACTCTACTAAAATGTAAAAATCTTCAATTTGAGATATAGGCAACCAATTACTCTGATTTAATCCCAATATTACATTTTATCTTAAATATAATTATAACTTTGTTGAAATTTATACTTTTCACTAAAACAATTTAATAAAAAATTCCTCGCGTGCCAACATGTTGGCAGATCGATAAATTAAACAAATAATTAATCTATCCAACTGATAAGACTCAACCAAAAAAATACGCATTTAAACAAATACGTTCTATTTGCTCGACGTGTTTCATAATCCTCCACATCGTAAATACTCAATACAACTAAATCCAAAATATCAACCTAATAATTCAAAATGTATGTTGTCAAATTTAGAACCAATAATAGTAATACTAATATTTATACTCATTTTTCCTCTCATATTCAAGTTGTACCTACTTAATTCTCAATTCTTAGGGATTTGCCCACTTGAATCTGGAAATTCTATATGCACTACTTATAAATAATAGAAATCGAGAGTGAGATTTTTATCCGCCTCAACTCAAACAAAATTAAAATTCAGATTATCATCATGATGCGCGCGTAGCAGATAGTTTTCGAATTATTGGCTTGATTGGCGGGCAATTGAAACAATTGATAGAGAATTATTGTGTGAAACACGACGGGAATTACGCTGATCGCGGAAGCATTCGTTTACGAGTGCAGCAAACACAAAAGCGCTATGTCGCACGCACAATTACCTACCGCTTCGCCATTACACACGTTCGAGTGCCATTTTGTTTACCGCACTCGACGACGAGCATCCGCGTCGAGTGCATAAATAAAACTTAATTTATCATCCGCATTGATTCTAAATGAGTAGGTTTCATTGATTTAATTACAATTATTGAGTATTACAGGAATATCTGTTATTATTTTGAGTAAAAAAGTTAAAATTATGTTTTTGAATGAATTTATATTCTCAATTTGTCAAAGTATTGCTTCCCAATGACCCAATCTGTGCGTTTTCAAGTTGATGTCAGTTGAAGATTTATCAAAACCTCATTTGTGACTTGACCACTGCATGACCGCAAACGAGCCTCCCAACAATGTCCGCTGCTTTGCAACCACCTTCCAAGACCGGATACGATTCCTCATCTGTTGGTCCACTGAAGCGCTCATCTTCCCTTTCATCATCAGCATAATGCTTTTATCGCATTGTACGGCAGACATCATCGCACGCCAACCAACTCCACACACATGCAAACACACACACACACAAAAGTCAAAACGTGAAACGCGCCCGAGCACAAAAGCTGTGTGTGGCTAGCAAGAGACTAATTGCCTTCCAGGTGTCTTCAGCCGCATTTACTCTTCAATGCTTATATATGTGTGTGATAAAGTGCAAGAAGCCCGCGGCGATTCAGCCGGCCGCGTGTGGAACTGTGAACTGTGAACCAATTCACAATTGTGATTTGTGCTTGAATTGTAAAATACTGCACACGTCCTACTTCTGCACCCACAATCACCACGGGGTTTCATTCGTAAAGTCTAAAGTATAAACTATCGGCTAATTTCTACACACATAGACAGATAAATAAAATTCGGAGCGCGTGCGAACAATACGCTCAACATGAGAGAATCATTCAAAGAGTCAACTAGACGTGTGCGTAAATATTAAACTCATTGGTTGCCTGATGAACTGATGGTCGAATAATACAATGTGTGCGTGCTCATCGATTTGCGTCCAAATAGCGCTTTGCTTTGTCAACGTTTCACAAAACGTTCGAAAGTGTTCGGGTGATGTATGAGGAGAGGTGAGATTTATGGTCAGCAGGAAGCAGATGGAGGCGCTTTTTGGTTCTTACTGTTGATGAGTAATTGCTTAATTTATTACTTTGCATGTTATTGTTCAACAGTACTTAGAAATATAAGCACTAGTGCATAAATAATACATTTAAACGCAAAAACGTGAAATATTATTATTTTGAGGTTAACACAGCATTATTATTTAGGTTATGTATTACCAAAATGTCAAAATAACCACCTTTCTTAATTGTGCGTGTCTAAATGTTACTTTTAACCACTTAAACTTTAATAATACTATAAATTTACATTAAAATTTAAAAAAAATATGATTTTAAGGGTAAATTAATGTTTTTAACTACGGGCGAGGTCTCATAAAAATATCTAAAAACTAGAAAATATTTTGCTGCATGTAAAAAACTCAATTTTGCACACTTAAGTTTAAAGTTTGTGGATTGATCCTTATCGCAATTTGTGATTAAATAATTTAGCTGCGTGATTTCTGTTTTGACGTAGTTATATTTGTGTTTGTTTTGAACGATATAAGTCGCCACGATGTCGAATTCATATCGATATTATTTAACTGATTGTATCATTTTTCCTAGCTTGTTATAGCTGTGCTGAACTAAATTTGCTCGCTGATTCTAATATATCGCCAGTGTGTTTAATGTCTCATGAATAATGCCGATTCGAACTTTTTTCTTCCTAGAAATATATTGATGACATAAGACATAAGAAATAAGACATAACGGATTATTTAATATAGGTATAGGGTGATAATATTTTTAGTAAATTATTTTTATTTTTCACTTTTAGTAGTTTTATTTGTTGAAATCCGCGTTTATTTCCTAGGGCAGGGTAAAAATGAACTCGTATCGTAAAATGGTAAAACGGTAAAACCAAGTGAGCTTTGTCACCGTCCAAAGCTCGCTATCGCCCCTTTCACTCGACTGGACCCCGTCCGACGTCACAAATTGCTCATCTCGCTCACATCCCGAACGCATCCTTCTGTTTCCTTCTTTCTGTCGCGCACGTGCCTGGTCGAGCATATGTTGATCCTCCGCTTTCCCGTTCTCGTGAAAACGACCGCCGACCGCCGACGAATGGAGTCATCGCAGATAGAAAGCACGAAATCGCTGAACGCGCGCTCATATTTATGATGAATGACCCCGAAGCGATTCCATAAAAGGACCATCATAACCATCATAACCCGCGCGCCACCAGCTCCCAACTTTTTAGCCGATCAGGATTTGTGTTTGTGATCGTGCAGGATGGACCGTGGGGCGGTTAATTC